GGAAGGAGAGCAACAGCAGCACCCCTTACACAATGCTCATTTGGCGTAGTGGTTAAGTGCGCGGACTCTAATCTGGGAGAACCGGGTTTGATTCCCCACTCCTCCACTTGCACCCAATGTTCCCTCTAAGCTGTGGAGTCTTGTGAGCAAAAATTCTACTTTCTGAGCTGCTGGCATTAAAGTTGTGAGCAAACGATTTGGCCACTGCATAAATTAGTTTGCTCTGGGGCCATCCTTCCTGAGCGAAGAAAAGAATCCATGAGCTGGGGGCTAAAAACCTGTGAGCTAGCGCACACTAACTCAGCTTAGAGGGAACACTGCGCACCTGGCTGGATGGCCTTGGGCAAGCCGTAGCTCTGATAAGAGCTGTCCTTGAAAAAAGAGCAGTTTCTGTCAAGAGCTCTCTCAGCCCCACCTACCTCACAGGGTGTCTGTTGTGGGGAGGGGAAGGGAAAGGTGTTTGTAAACTGCTCTGAGACACCTTTGGGTAGTGAAGGGCGGGGTATAAATCCAATCTCTTCTTCTCTTCAGTCTCACGGGCAACACTCCAGCGTGCCCGGCCACACGGGCATCCTCCTGTCAGCAGCACAAATGTTGCCGCTGCACTGCCTCTTGCCAGGCTGCTACAGCAGAGCCAGAAGAGGGTCCGATGCGAGCCAGTGAGGGAGATGGCAGGCTGTTACCTCACCACATCCCCTCTCCTCAAAAACAATGAAAAATAAGCACCAATCCAGGCCACCCTTTTGGGGCCAGGTTTGAGGTGCTGCACTCACCCGTCCCAGGTCCCTCCCTCCCTCCCCAGGAAAACTGCCCACTGCATCGCTGCCTTGACTCAGTAAGAAGCTAGCCCCTGCCTGGAAACATCAGAATGCCAACGGCCAGGTGGGAGTCAGCATTCTGACCCCCTCCTCCCCAGGAATCTGCTCATTGGGTCCCTCCTGGAGTCCAGTGAGCAGCATGCCATGCAGAACACTTGTCGTCGTCCCCCCCCCGGAAACCACTCGCCACATCCACACAGGGATGAAGAGAGAACCTTGGGAAGGAGGGCAGTCAGCCTAGGCCGCAGAATATCAGTCCTCTGGGCTGTATGCTGCACACCTCAGGTTTAAAATACACGAGTATTTTACGGATCGGGCTCTTACATTTTGCATAGAATTCTTAGCACAATAAAAGGAACTGTTACTAATCAGGTGTCTCTAAAGCAATCAAGGAAAAGATCCTTCATACATTTCCATCTAACTTAAAAAAAAAAGACTATCAGTTCTCCAACAGGCAAAGGATGTAGTTCACTGAGTCTACTGCCCTTTTCAGACAATCTGAAGGAAACAATTTAGGGAGTCAGAGCAAGACTGCAGCAACCAGTTCTGCCCAACCTAAGCACTCACTGGAATGCATCATACAGTGTACCCATTAGGGAGTGTGCCCCCTAAGGAAGATCAACGTACAAATGTACAGTTTTACACGTGGAGCTGCCCCTGAGGAGGACTACTCAGAAGCTGCCAATAGTCCAAATGAAGAAGCCTGTGTATTAGCTGGGATACCAGTATGATGGCAGCATTACAACAATTCACAAAACCAAACAGGGACCCACGGTAAGTAGGAAAACCAACATACAACAAATACCATGCACAGATGATTATCACATATCATACATAATTTTATATTATTTGACAAATATTTTTACAATGATTTCTTCATATATAATTAATCATCTGAATCACAATTCACATGTTATAAAGAGACTTTAAGGAGTCCTCCCTTTTGAAACTTTTATTTAACAGAGGAGGACTATTATTAATTATAAGATTGTACAATATCTTTTGAGATTCTATGGGGGTGATATTTGATATTTTTGATATCTCTTGTATTGTGAATTGTGATTCAGATGATTACTTATATATGAAGAAATTATTGTAAAAATATTTTTCAAATAATATAAAATTATGTAAGATATGTTATAATCATCTGTGCACGGTATTTGTTGTATGTTGGTAGCATTACAACAGCAGCACTAACAACCTATACAAGGTGCTGTTTTTGACTTTTACAGACTGGGTCCCATATACTTGATGGACTGTCTCTCCCTATATGAACATGCATAGACCTTAAGATTCTCACAATAAAGTTTTCTCATTTCTCCCCCCCCCCCCCCAAGGAAGTTAGATCTCCAATTGGCAGAGAAAGAATGTTCTTGTGGTGGATGGCTGGGTGGGGTGGAAATTTCTTTTATCAAGAATTTCTTGATCTCCCATAAAGATACTTTTGCTGTTTATTTCTATTCAAGGACAGAGGAAGGCTTATCAGAATACTAGTGATTAAGTGCCTGCAAGAGCAGTTCCTCAGCTATTACTCCAAGGACTTTTATTCTGAAGCTGTTAACAAAACTGCATACTTTCATCTCTGTAAAATAAGCATCAGACCTCTGAAGAATGCGGTCCGGTCAGTGGCCAAAGAAAGACTGAAACTAACAACAGACAGTACCTTTAGGGCCATTAACTGGTCAGCCCACATTTCAATGGTGGGAAGGAGGTGCTCAAATCCACAGTCCTGATCATTCTCTTTGGTGCCACTTCGGGGCAACCCTTTACTCTGCTTATATATCACCAAGGGAGCTCTTCTTGGGCTTCTTAGAACAGAGTCAATGCTGGACAACAGCTGTCAAGAGATATTGTCTGAGAATAACGTTCTGACAAACACCATTTTTTGTTTCTGTAGACACCCAAAATAGTTTAAATGACAATTCAAATTGGTGTGTGCTTACTGGCCAATCAGACCCAAGTGTTTTCTTGAGTGAAATGCACTTTCCAGATACTAAAAAAACCCTATTAATAGTGAAATATCTATTTCTGTATCTTTCACTATACAAAAGGACTACTTCCTTTAGTATGTTTTGTTTTTCAAAATACAGTTCACCCTGTCTTGTAGGGATTTGAGTTTTAATAAACTGAAAACACAACAGAGCCTGACTTATGCACTTTTGTCCCACTAATTTCACTGGGTGATACTTAAACCACACCTACTGAAGTCAACAAGGCTTAAAAGTGTTTAACTTTGGCTCAATCAGGCCCAGCGGACTACTGAACTATTGGCAAGCCAGCTTCTTCCCACCCACAGCTTCCTTCCCCAAATGCACTTTCCTTTCAGTTCGTTCTTCCTGTGTCAGTTGATAATGAAAAGATAGCTGCCTCAATCGACTTTCATATCACAGTAAGTAAATAGACACTTAACTTTTAACTTGGTTAATACATTGGATACACACTGCACTGCAGAGTCTCTCTCGACAGGACAGAGGATGAAGGACGAGCACTTTATAATGCAAACTTTCACACCAATCATTTTTGCACTCCAGTCTCTCCAGGTAGTTCCATTTGCTACCTGGCTGGCTCAGTGCAGACACAGCAAACAATCCAAAGCTTTATTCTTTTTGTGTAACAGATACAAACAAGAAGGGGAACCTGCGATACTCGCGGGGGCGGGGAGCTCCACGTAGAGGAGAAGGAAGCAGCCACGGGTGAGCCTTCTCCCCTGCCGCTTCCCCACCAAGCCTTCTCCCTCCTCCTCCCCGGCACTGAGGCCTGAGCTCGGCCCACCAAGCCTTCTCCTTCCTTTCTTCCCCACCCCGCAGCAGCGGCAAGGCCTGAGCGGCTCACAGTCGCTGGACCGCCAAGCCTTCTCCCGCCCCGGCGGCGGGACAGTTGCTGGGGCGTTCTCTGTGCATGTGCAGGGAAAGCTCTTGTACTTTGGGGGGGGGGGATTTAAATATCCCCGGTATACTTTTTTCAACTTTTTAGATTTTTCTGCACATCTGGGGATTGCCCCGAATGTGCAGGAAAATCTCTTTGCCCCCTAGGTGCCTCCGATGTGCGGATTTAGATATCCACATGCAAGGGGGAACCTTGGCTATTAGATATATAGATATGGTTAACTGCCAGGCTTGCACATCACCACTGTTGCCAATCTCTTACTTCAGTTTAGTTAAGACATCTAAATTCAGGCACCTCCACCAACTGAGGTTTGTTTCTTTCCCAATAACTGGGATTCTTAGTCATGATTTCATGCTGTAAGACTTCTGCCTTAAGTCTTGGCATCCGACACAGTGTGTATGTGAGAGTGATACAAACCTGCTTAATTGCCAAACATAAATAAACTCCTGTTTGTTGAGGATGACGGAGCAACAGTCTTGTGTGCTCCAAAGTGTCCCCCCGTTTTTAGAGGGGGGGTGGAGCACAGGCCTGTAGCCAGGATTTTGTCATTTGGGGGGACCTTTAAATAAGTCAGGGGGCACGGACATCAGAAAATTATAAATACAATTTTTTAAAACTCACTTTTGCAGCATTCACACTCTGCCTGCCTATGCTTGGGGAAGGGGCAGCGGTGGGGAGTCCTCCAGGTGGCCCAGAGTGTCATCTAGGTGGCCCACAGAGCTGGGGGACCTGGGGGCTAGATGGAAGTCAGGGGGCCGTGGCAGGGAGTCGGGGGGCCAGGCCCCGAAATGCCCCACTGTAGCTATGGGCCTGGTGGAGCAGCACAGAAAATACTGCATAGGTATCTAGCAGCTAGAAGCTTTCATGAGTCAGCTGAAATAAAGAATATTATGAACCCCAAGAATAAGTTTTCTTTGCCAAATGTGATTATTGTAGGTACTGGGGCAGAAAATACAATAAATGCCATGTATTTCTTACTGTATGCTGAAAGGCAAAGGACTGAGGATTTTTAAAAAATCCATCTTTTCAGTTCTAAATTAAGGGTGTAATTTCACTGCATACTTTTGACTTTAAATGCAATCACCATCTGCCTACTTGAAAATATCTTCTACAGGTTTCTTGCAACTGGTCTCCTCCTGTAGTACTCTTAGACTCTTTGTTTTCTTTCAGAGTTTCTTCATCACTCTCACATGACCTACATGGCAGACAAAGAACACCCCCCCATTATTCCATAAACAAAAAAAAAATCAATTCAAGTATCATTTATAAACTAGATCCAGAGGGGGGCGGGTTTTTTGGGGGGGGAGAAGGGGTCTATGCAACATGCACACACTGCTTCTTCGTCCAGGATATGGTATGACTACAACTCTTCCACATTCCTATACGACCCTTGAGTAATGGTTACCCTAAAAGGAGCATGAAAGCATTGTGCTCTGTTCCTTCCAAACACCTCTCCTAGCATAAAATGAGCATGTGTGCTCTACATAGCACAGAGGCAGTCTCTCCTATTCCTAGTAGAAGCAAACAGACCAAACATCTGTGGCCAGTGATGGGCTCTATGCCAGGCTGTGGAAGATGCCCCATCACGCTGGATGTTGATACCAGCACATCATAATTTGGGCGCTAAGCAGATGTGAAACACACTACTTAAATTCACTTGAACGACAGTCTTCAGCCACTCTTAGATTTACATATCTTCTAGATTGGTAATGTGTGGAAGCAGAAACTAAAAATGATTAAGACAACTATGATGAGAAGGAGGTCCTGTCTCCTTTCAGCTCCTTTTTCCTGCCACTTTGCATAGATGGTTGAGGCTGCATAGCTACAACTACCCACAATACCTGGGGACAGTACCAAGACATAATACTGACCAATTGTGCCTCCAAACACACCTTTCTTCTGCCATATCCCAAAGTCAGAGGCATGAAGACGACTTGGCTGGCTCTATTCTCTGCCTTTCTGCTAGTCAACCTGTTTCCAGTCTTCGGAACAAATCTAACTAAATGATTCCTATTTTCTTTACAGAGCTTCAAAACCATACATTAATTTCGGATGATCCAAGAAAAGCATAGTTACTTGACATTCTTCAGTGTTTTCTCCAACTTCTTTACTTGACGTTTGTAAAATTTTAACTCTTGCTCAGTTGGTCTATAAAGTAAAGTAGTATTTTCAGAATATGAGAAATAGGAAAGTTAACGGAAGATGTTCCTTTTCTTAGTAAAGAGTAATATAGCATGCATGAAAAGTTAGATATCTCATCCCTGCTTGGTTCACTGGCTATGAAAGCCCTCCAGTCCTGGCTGAAGAGGCTTACACATTCACTCAGCAATGGGAAATAATACTGGGAAAGGGGGGAATACAATATGTTTGTTTTATTGTAAACACTTAGAGCAATAAGAAGAGGCAGTAGACAAACTCACCTGATTTCCAACTCTTTCTTGAGATTTTTATTTTCACGTGATAACTCTTCGTTTCTGGCCTGTGTCTCAATTATTTGATTCTGGAAATACTTCAAAGATTATTATAAATATTATACTATTTATAATAGTTTCAAACCTTCTCTCCCTGGCCCTCACAACAACCCTAAATAGATTATTAGTGAACATGCTACACTGGGAGAAGGAAACTGTTAACAGCCTTTTACTCAGGGAATCAACAGGAGAACCGCGATTTGAACAAACCTTTCCAAGAATGAGAAAGCACAGACGGAAAATCAAACGTCTGACCTCTTTCCTAATATTTAAAGTTAATAAATCAACTTGATATACAGAAAAATCCTGTCCTTTATCAAGACTTGCTGCCTAAGTAATATCCCTGCAGCTGAATAAATACCTGGACACCTGTAGCATAAACAACACATCTAAAACAGAGATATTTAAGTGTGAGGGGTAAAAATACTTCACCCACTGAAAGGCTGCCAGAGTGCATCAAAAGCTCACAAGAACTCTTATTTCTGCAAAAGCCCAGATTGTATCTCTTCAGAAGGGAAGCCTTCCAGCAAAACTGCCTCCCTTGTACTCATCAGAGTGGGAAGGCAAAAAATCTGTCGCACACTTCCCAGGTGAACAAATGGTGAGCTGAAAGCCCTTTGACCTCATACACACAAGGTGCTTTCCCATTTTAGATGCATAGAAGGTTGGGGTAGATTTCCCCTCCTCTTTCCATCAACAAAAGCCTGTTCAATTATTAGTAGCATGGTATAAAAGGTAAAGGTTCCCTTGCTCGAAAGCCAGTCGAGTCCGACTCTAGGGTTGCGGTGCTCATCTCCGTTTCAAAGCCGAAGAGCCAGCGCTGTCCAAGGACGTTTCCATGGTCATGTGGCCGGCATGATTAAACACCAAGGCGCACGGAACGCTGTTACCTTCCCACCAAAGTGGTACCTATTTATCTACTTGCAATTTCTTGCTTTCGAACTGCTAGGTTGGCAGGAGCTGAAGTCCTAGATTCTTTTTCCCCCCCCCCCCCCACGATGAACACAGCAAGGTGACAACCTGTAGGGCCACTCCTAAACTCTGATAAGCTTGTTCTTGAACGTTGAGGGGGAGCAATCACCACCAACTCAAAGGTTGGCTGCCATTTCCAGACCTGCACTCATGATTCTCTGCTAGTGTCTTACCATGAGCAAAACTCTGTAATTAGCAGTAGCATCTACATTCAAGAACTCATCCTTGTCTTTTCCTCCTCCATGGGTATGACCTGTCTCCTTCTTATATTTCCTATGAAGGAAACAAAGTTAAACCACACCTGTTCAACGAAAAATCATGGAAACACGAAACTAAACAGAGTTAGATTTTTGTGTGACTTACTAAGCACCATCATGCCTTTAGCAGGACATTTGTAACTGAGAGACGGGGGTCTGCAAATGTTTGGCCAGCGGCAGTGCTTTTCTGTGGCATCAAGAATGTCCCCCAGTGCAAGATTCTCTTGTAATAGTAAGAAAGCCTCTTGTGTTAGTGGAAGGCTCCCTGCACCAGAGAAAAGGACCACTGGCAGCAGAACAGCACTACTCATCCCTCCACTTGCCTACCTTAGTTCTTTCTTCATTTGGTTGATCTGTGATTCGTAGTAGTCAATTAGACTAAAAATCCTAGAGAGAAACAAAAGGTAGAAGTACCAAACATGCCACCACAGCCAATATAAATTACGAGCACCAAAGAAAGAGTGGGTGTGTATATGCATACAAACACTAAACCATTCATACAGTTCAATTCTACTTTGTTCACATGGAGAATCTTGAATGCATTCAACTTAATACATGTAGCACATCATATCGATATCTGCAGGGGTCACTTCCTGCAGGAGTGCACAGGAGCGGAGCTCCAGCAGTAAGGAGCTCAGGGGGCGGGCACATGCAACAAGCCCCACCCCCTGCTCCCAGCAGCCCTCAGTTGGGCCAGAAGAAGCAAGAAGCAGCCAGGTAAGTTGCAGAGCCCCCCCCCGCCTTCAGGTACAAGCTCTCCCTCCTCTGTGAGGGCAGATCTGTGCATCCCCCCCCCCAATAGCTAGCAATCCAAAACAGTCCAGTGGAGCCTGAGCGGTGGCTGCTGCCTTCTGACACACTTCTGGTGATGTCAGGGGGTGTGGCATATGCAAACAAGTTATGCTAATGAGTTATGCTAATGAGCTCCTGCACCTCTTTTTCTACAAAATGACCCCTGGATATCTGATTATTTTAAATGGTCTCTTGTGAATCCTATTCAGGCGCTTGCAATTATCCTGTTACTTAAAAATAAGCACAGTCTGTTTATCTCCCAGAGCAAACATTCTCTCAGTTGTTGTCTTCAGACCCTTTATACGGCGTTAATTGTGACAAACCAGCCAAGAATTCACAAACTGGAGGCATGGGAGGGAATACACAGCAACCTCTTGCCTCCTGTGCAAAGACCATTAGCAATCAAGCCCTGCGTGCTAACAGGTACACTGTCTCCAAGCCCAATTCTCCTCCCCATCCCATGTGGGCTTTAGAGGGCTCAGCCTCCCTTGAGAGATTAGGGCTCAGAGGTGAATATATAACACTGTCAGGTCGCCCATCAATCAACGAGTCGCTCCTCTGTTAAGAGGGAACTTTATTGAAAGGATGATTCACTAACAAGGTTTCTGATTAGAATAACATTGAGTGGACGTACAGGTCATATGAAAAGAATTCAAACAACCCTTGGACCAATGGGTCAGATTCCCACCAGGGAGAAATAAGCGCCAAAGGGCTGGGAACCCGAACGGTCCATGTAACCAAAACATTCCCGTTCCCAGGCTGTTAGCAAAAGTTGAGTCCAAGCAAACTAAAGCAAAACGTCTTATCTTCCCACCTGTCCTTGAAGTGTTGTGCGTTTCTCTAACAAGCTGTTTCGTGCGAGCCGGCGCCTAGGTTGCTAGGTAACTACTATAAACACATGAAGCCCATTACAGAAAGCAAAGCATGATTAATTAGGAACCTATAGGTCAGGCATCTATATGCCTGATGCTAATATGACAGCTTGCTGACAAACACATGCCAAGCATTTAAAAAAAGCTTACTAGTTTAGCATCAATACTTTCCCCAGAGTTGTCTCAAACCACAGATTAGCTTCTTACCGGGCATAAGAAGCAGTTTAAACCATATGCAACATCACTTAGAAGTCCAAAGCCAGAGAAATGGAAACCCTGCAGTAATTGCCATAGTCACCCCAGGATCAAACACCAGCAGGTGTCTGCATGGACCTGAAATGAAGCCATTTGCTCCCTTTTGCTGCCACCCAGTGTGCAAGGTGTGCCATTCCCATTCTCCTCTATTAACTTAATTCCAAGCATTATTCAATAAAGATTTCTATAGCTTTGAGGAATATTTTTAAATAGGATTCCAAGATTGTCTCAATGTACTTACAGCCTGATATCACTGGTGCAAAAAAGAGACACTTCCCTTCCCCCTTTCTCCGGGCCACGGCTTCCCGCAAGCAGGAGAAAGGGGGAGAGATTGCCCCGGAAGAGGCTTCCCTTCTCCCTTTCCCCTGGCCACAGTGCTCCCCACTGTTTCAAAGGGGGGGAAGCAAAACCAGAGGATTAAATATGGCGGTCAAGTGCCTCCCAGGGGGCACTTCACCCCCTCTTTGGTGTAGTGGTTAAGTGTGAGGACTCTAATCTGGGAGAACTGGGTTTGATTCCCCACTCCTCCACTTGCACCTGCTGGATGAACTTGGGCAAGCCATAGTTCTCTCAGCTGCTCTCTCAAGGGCAGTTCTCAAAAGAGAGCTCTCTCAGCCCCACCTGCCTCACAGGGTGTCTGTTGCGGGGAGGAGGAGGGAAAAGAATTTGTAAGCCGCTCTGAGACTCCAAGTAAAGGGCGGGGTATAAATCCAATCTCTTCTTCTTCCTTTCCGCTGACCCAGCTGTCTTCGGCTCTCTCTTGCAGCCCGTTTAAAGGGGTGGTGTGAGGGAAGCCGAAACAGCTGAGCCTGCAGAGAAAGAATGAACAGCCCTCAAGGGCCAAACCAAACAAGCTGAAGTTTGGTAAATGTTTGGGGAGCGCATCTTCCCCAAACATCAGTTCCTGAGCCCTGAACCAGTTCAAGCTTGGCCCGAATTTTGGTTTATAAGCCAGTTCGTGCCCATCCCTAGTCAGCATCCTGTTCTTCACTATCAGTTTCTTTCTGGCCTATTTAAGCAGTAGCACTTTACGCTTGGCTGCCATATGTGAATGTGGGACCAACTACCGTTTTCTAAACCATTTTGCTATTATTGAAAAAATTTTTAACAAAAACTTCTAAAGATCATAAATCTGAAAAATCATGTTACAGTGTTTCCCCATTCCTAAATAGGATTAGTAATAATTCCCCTCTTTAAACTTCCTTACTTATGTATGGTGCACTTACGATCACACTCAAACGTTACTAATGATTTGCAAGCTTCACGGTGATGTAAGACTCTGCAGTAACTCTCAGATGCAATAAGTCCGTTTATGGATTTTATTAGCAATCAGGAAAGTTGCAGGTGAATCAAAGGCTTTGACAGTAATGGCAGATAATACAAGTTGAGCTCTTACGAGAACTTTGGTGCAGCCTACATTCATACGTCATGGTTACATGTGACAGAGACAGGTTAATAAAGTACAATTAATATTGTGAGAATGTTTATCAAACAGACTTCCTGCCTGGCCAAAAGACATCATGAGAATGCGAACAATCTTCTGGCCATTGTGGAGGAGGATTTCATTGAAGTGTACCAAGCGCACTATCTACAATAGACAACCAAGCCTGTTTCAACTACTCCCCATCCTGGGAAAGTCAGAGGAGGACTTTACAGTATAGTTGATTCATAGCTAGCAGGTGTTACAATCAGCTTGGGAACAAGAAGCCAGTGTGAGAATACAAAGATAAAGCATTTGGGATAATATGCAAGCAAGCAGGGCATTAAGCTAGGTACATCAGAACACCAGTGAGTATCCAGACTGACCCCAAACAATCATAGGTCCGATTCTGACAGGTGATTTGCAAACCCTTAAATATCCACTTCTGTCTCTCATTCAGAGACAGCCTGAGGACAGACAACTGTTAGAGCTTGCATTACTACAGATAACTCCCTGCAATAAAAGAGTGTGTGTACTCTGTGAAAGCAGCCAAAAACAGTCATGAAGACTGTGAAGGAATCCCTGCACACTGAGGTAGCCCCTCAGGCATGTAAGAATGTAATGGTTTGGCAAACACACACACACACACTGCACATGAAACGCTGGTAGCAGAAAGCAGCACACTGTAGAAAGCCTTTAGCTGTCTGTTTACCAGCTTCTCTTCAGCCTAGGGCCCAAATGGAGAGAGAATTGGCTCGGGAGGACACCATCCCCAGGCCTGTGTCTCCAAGCTAATTCCCTAGCCCCAATAAGATCCCATAAACTAAGAAGGCCCTCTTTCATAGATTAAGGTCATTTCCTGGCTTCCTTGAAATTTCTTAGAAATTCTCCCCTACCCCCAATCTTTGCAGGATCCTCTTAAGATAGCAAGAGGCAAAAATGGCAAAATTTCCTTTTTGCCCTACCCCTTTTTGTCTCCCTCTGAAATTTCTACACAGGACCCCACTTGCCTATATTTCTCTTGTAATATACCAGTGACACGCCCCTCTCCAAGGATGACTGCGGGTTGCAAAGCGCTGCCTCTCCAGGTGCCCATCATCACACAGTGCAAATCTGGGCCACCTGTTTACCATGGTTGCCAGAATGCTGCTCAGAGGACATAACATTTTAACCCACATTGTTTAGGGACAGCATCACTGACTTGTTTTGTAAACACTTTGGTACAGCCAGATCACATGGTCAACAGCTGCAAGTATATAGCAGTGGGACCAGTCATACTGCTACAGATGTCTGGGAGAACGGTGGGCTTCATGAATGTTTTAGAAGAAGAAGAAGAAGAGAAGAGATTGGATTTATACCCCGCCCTTCACTTGGAGTCTCAGAGCGGCTTACAAACTCCTTTCCCTTCCCCTCCCCACAACAGGCACCCTGTGAGGTGGGTGGGGCTGAGAGAACTCTGACACAAACTGCTCTTTTTCAAGGACAGCTGTGCCAGAGCTTGTGTTTTGTAAACACTTTGGTACAGCCAGATCACATGGTCAACAGCTGACAGCTGCAAGTATATAGCAGTGGGACCAGTCATACTGCTACAGATGTCTGGGAGAATGGTGGGCTTCATGAATGTTTTAAATAAAACAATCCAAAATTACAACCCTGGAAGACTTAAATTCCTAGGCAACTCTCAGCATTACAATAAAAATTTGCAAGCTAAATAAATATATCTGAGATTTACATAAAACTGCCATGCTCCTGTAACTGTACACCTCTCAAAAAAAAATGATGCACAAGCACTTACTGCTGATCCAAATGAGTTCTTGGAGCCTTTTTGCAAAACTGGTGGAACATTTTTTTCTGTGTAGCAATACGGTGCTGCTCTTCTATGCCCGTCTTACAGAGTTCCTTCTGCAAACGGGCAATAGTCTCTTCTTGTTCTTTCAGCTTCTCTGCCTGCTGACGGTACTTTGCCTGCAAGCCGAAAGGAAAGAAGTCACAGAAGGCAGGTCAGTTCTAGAAAGTGAAGTGATGACACACCAATCAATGCATTTTGTCAATTTCATGGGCTTTTCACTATTTTCTAGAAGGAGGTATAGGGTGTGGGTGAGGACAGATAGCTTACTTTCTCTTGCAATTACATTAAATATATTAAGATGGATAGCTGTGTTAGTCTGTCTGTAGCAGGAGAAAAGAGCAAGAGTCCAGTAGCACCTTGAAGACTAACAAAATTCATGGCAGGGGAGGAGCTTCCGTGAGTCACTGCTCATGTCTTTGGAAGTTTTGAAGAAGTGAGCAGTCACTCACAAAAGCTCAATCCCTGCCACAAATTTTGTTAATTACATTTAAAGTTTATCATTAGCAGGGGCATAAAAATCCATCTACAGCATACTACTGTATCAATTTCTTGCTGCAAATACCTGTGAAGACTGCTGATCTTTCTGAAGCTCTTTGACTTGAGTCTGCTGCTCACAAACTTTAGCTATGGACTCATCTTCCAACTGGCATATCTTGGATTTGATATTCTCCACGATGATGTCTAAATCATTGGCTCGCTGCTCCTGGCGAGAAGCCCGACTTCGCTCCATGCGTATTTCATCTCTTATTTTTTAAAAAAGAAAGGTGTTCCCTTCAGTAAAAGCAAGCCCACTAACCCAGTGTGAAATTAACTCAAAATCAAGTAGCATACTGATCACAACAGGCAAATGTTTCCTTCCGGTCTGGTTGGTGTTCATGTACATTATCCTGAGCAAAGCATCATATTCTGCCATATCCAGGAAGACTAGCTTCTTCTTATGCCAAGGTAGCTAGGGCAAGCGGCATACCAGTTCCTTCTATGACATGGGCATCTAGGTCAATAACTCCTTTGAGGCAGTAGGAAGACAGTGCCAACAGCTCCCAAAATGCCAAAGTAAAACAAGAGAATGATCCAGCCAAGCCATACGCCAGACAGAGTAGCTACAAACAAGGGCTGGTGAAACTTACTGCATTCAATGCAGCATAAGAATTGCTGCGAGAATCAGGGCATGGTTATCTAGCCAAATATTTTGCTTGTTTTCAATTGTGCCAACCAGACGCCTCTGACACACAGCTAGTATTCTAAAATGGGAACCTAACAAGAATGGAAGGGCTATGATTAGAAACAAGCAAGCATAAAGGTAGCTTCCTTTCAACCTCCGTTTTAATTTTCAGAACTTTTCAAGTTTAATTGGATACTACAGAATAATTCCTCATTACTCCATTTACCTAAGCTGGCGATTGTCTTCTATCAGGCCACGGACAATTTTTCGTTGCCGCTCTGTCTCTTCCAGCAGTGTTTTCAACGCATGCCGTATGGCTTTTGAAGAGTTCCTGTCCATCACAATAATATCTACACACAGAGAGAGAAGAGATGCTCATTAAAAACACATTGCAGTTACAACACTCACGGTACAAGTAGCTGGTATAAAAGATTACACAATAACAGTAAACATAATTTGCCTATAAATATTGCTAAGAGCCCTGCTGGATCATACCTGTGGTCCATCTAGTCCGGCTTTCTGTTCCCACAATGGCTAACCAGATGTGCCACGAAACCTACAAGCAGGACAAAAAGCCAGCAACTGTCTGTCTCCTCCCCCCAACAACTAGTATTCAGTAGCATAATACCTCTAAACATTTAACCATCAAGCTAATAGCAATTGATAGACCTTTCTTCCATTAACATAATGGAAAGGTAAAGGTTCCCTTGCTCGAAAGCCAGTCGAGTCCGATTCTAGGGTTGCGGTGCTCATCTCCGTTTCCAAGCCGAAGAGCCAGCGCTGTCCGAAGATGTTTCCGTGGTCATGTGGCCGGCATGACTAAACACCTAGGCGCACGGAACGCTGTTACCTTCCCACCGAAGTGGTACCTATTTATTTACTTGCAATTTCTTGCTTTCGAAGTCTTAAAAGCTCTTAAAAGCCCTCGTTCGGAAAGGGGTGCAATCCCTTAATCTGGTTGCCCTTTTTTGCCTATTTTCTAGCTATTTGACGTGGAGTTATCAGAACTACCCACAGTATTCCAAATGTGACTGCACCACTGTTTAAGTGCGTTACAGTGCTAGCAGTTTTATTCTCAGTCCCTTTTTAATAACCCCTTAGTTTGGAGTCTGCTAATTTCCTCAGCTGATTTAAACAGAAAAACCACTGTGATCATAATTTATGACCCCTTTTACCTATGTCAGCCAGCAGGAGGCATACTTGATCACACTGATTTTCTACAGATACTACAGTTTAACACTAAGGAGGGATACAAGCTCCCACCGCTCAGCTGTTTGGTTTAAACAAATGGGAGCCATTTAAATCACTGCTTTCTGCTCCCTGTGAAAAGCTGCAGGGAACAGAAAGCAGGGGTTTAAATGGCTCCCAGCCTAGGACTGGCTGGGGCTAGTAGCCAAGAAAGCCCCTTTAAACATTAGCTGCTGGATCAGTTTGCTCCATGCAGCACAACTCTTTGAATGGGCTTTCATGGGCCATGATAGCTGTCCAAGAAAGGCCCTTTGAACAGCTGATCCATGTGGCTCAGCTGTTTTAAGGGGCTTTCTTTGACATACTGCCCAAGAAAGTCCCCTTAAACTGCTGAGCTGCACAGAGCAAACTGCTCCACATGGATCAGCTGTTTAAAGGGGTTTTCTTGGGTTCAGTTTCAAGCCATTTAAAGCAAACAGCTGAGCAACAGAGCTCCGCTCAGCTGTTTGGTTTAAATGGCTTGGAGCTATTTAAGCCCCTGCCTTCTGCTCTCTGTCAAAAGTGGCAGGGAGTAGACAGCAAAGGTCACAAACCCACACAAACTGGTTGGTTCACAAGTCAACCTCCTGGTTTGTATAGGTTCGTGGTTCAGCCACTAACCAAACCACAACAATGCGGATCGTGTCCATCCCTATTTAACACAGTAGTCTACCAGGTTACCACGTATAATTTCCAACATCAATACAGTGGTGTTAGATACACTTTGCTTACAGCACTACAATATTTAGAATCTGTGAGAAATGAAAATACACATCTTCAAGCAATTCTATTTAGGAGAGTCATCATTTTTCTTCTTAAAAATAGCATTTTGTTACCTGACGCATTTCTACTGCTTCCAGGTTTAGCAAGGCACACAGGTCTTAAACCATGTTGCCTTAGTACCTTGTTTAGATTTTCCCATTCTTCTTCTTCCTACATTCATGATGAAAACAGAAAAGAAAAGGCTATCAGTGTCACACAGTGGCACTGTGTACTGTATTTTTAGCATGTCCACCAGTGCAGGTTTCTAAAATTCCCTCCGTTTATTTATTTTTTTAAAATCATCTTTATTGATTTTCATATGACATACAGAACATAAAGCGAAAATACAGCGTAATTCAGTGCCTACAAGTAAAAAACCTTTGGTAAATGAAGATACTAACCTACAGGGTTAGCCATTTAAGAAAGAGAGGGTTGGGTTTATTTAATGTGCCACTAACATCAATTGTCAAAATATATATGCCGGTAAATATGCAAGGACTTCCAGTGAAAAACAACAGCAGTCATTCACTTAACACTAGAGAAAAAACGCAGTTTCTCTGCCAGGCCGTTCTTAAAGGTAAACACTCCCAGTCGAAGATGTACCAGTTACACAAATTTTTCGGTAATCTTTTCTCAAGACTGGACTTCTATTGAAGTCATGCCTACAAACTCAATTCCCAGCACTGAAAGCTCCCAACTCTGGCACAGCGTCAATCTCTCCAGTTTGTGTAACTGGTACATCTTCGACTGTTTTGTTTGTATTTTGGACTACAAATATATCTACAAGCAAGAATCTTGTGTTGATCTTTTGTTTGGAAGCAGAAGGAGTCAGACGGCCAAACTGGGAGTGTTTACCTTTAAGAACGGCCTGGCAGAGAAATTGCATTTTTTCTCTCCAGTGTTAAGTGAATGACTATCCCAAAAAATATATATGCCAGCAAGCACAGCACAGTGATAGAATAAGAGCCTCAAAAATGTCACATTCGTTTTCAGATGCATTTGGTTCAATCCACATTGACAAGGAAAAAACCCCTCAAACTCCTCCTACATGGTCATGGTTTCTTGCTCTTTTGTACAACTGCAAAAAAACAAATGGTGCTATACAGTTCACTATTAATTTAATTTAAACATATCAATAAAAATGGGTTGCAACAATCACATTTTTTTTTCATATCCACATAAATTCCAAGCTCCCCTACCCCCTTCTCTTTAACACTATCCTTACTAAGGCCTTTTCTGAATGTGTATTTTACCCTGGATATACAATCACGTTATGACGTTTCTAATTTTTCATTCTGTAACTCGTTTTCTCCTTTTTGGGGTTTCCTCGGGGGTTTTGTTGTTGTTGTTGTTTCCAGAGCATTCTTAGGGCGGTTTTATTTTCAAGCAGATTGCAAGTTGGCTTGCTTCCAGGTGCAAAACACTGGAATCCGTATTTTTCACAGCAGTGATCTACGCCCCCTTTGAACATCCTCCTCTGTATCCACACCACCTTCTACCTTTTCCATCCCCTTCCCTCCATGATTTCCTCTCTGGCCACAATATTTTTTGTTATAATGGAAATCAGTGATAGCCGTAGCTAAGTGCTATTATTTTTAGATGATCATACATGTGTTAGCGTTAATGAGTTATGGCTAACACTCACTACCATGATACATTTGAAAAGTTCCTCCTTTCCTGCTATTTTGCTAATTTCTTCAGCAGCACACACCATTTCATTCCACCCTCCCCCCCTTGCCTTTTCCCACCTTTGGTTTTAGTAATCTCACTCACCCCGAGCTACCTTGACACTGTCCCCTTCACCCAGGGTGAGATGTAATTTTTAGTACTATTAGGATTGTGTTAACGTGCTAATATAAATGGCCAGCAGTGCGCGTGGGGGGTGGGTGGGTGTTTTCACATTATTTTGCTGTACATACCACTCTTATTTGTGCTTATTGCAATGGACTTTCATTGGCATGTTACTTAAAATGGCTTAGGATGACATGTGATCAGTAGCCACGCTACAGTGGTCTTCTTTTTAAGGGGTGGGCTGAAAACTAACGCAAGAACACTTACCCACCCTGGGGGTAAAAGTGGGGGAGGTTTAAGAAGCGACATATTGGGTGACCGCTCTCAATTTAGTGCTAGTGTTCAGTATCACCAATGGGTCTACACAAATTTTTTTTAAAGGGGAAGGCAATCTGATGGCAGGGGATAACGACATCGCTGACGTCCACTGCCATCAAATTTTAAAACCAAATATTATGATCCAGTGCAAACAGAAAAAATTAAAGCAGGAAATGGTATAGAAAACAGGACAAGATGCAGAGCGCTGAATATCATGATCCAGTGCAAACAGAAAAAATGAATTTAAAGCAGGAAATAGTATAGAAAACAGGACAAGATGCAGAGCGCTCTGTTCCAAGCTGATTCCAACACTTGGAGATCAACCACACAGAAGATCAGGAGTAAGGTCAGTACGCGGAACAGGCCTCTTTCAGCCTTCTCTAATAGTGCCTCCTTGATTAGATACTTTTTAATCTTGGTACAAGCCTTTCATGTATTTAACTATGCACATTCCAAGCATACACCCAACAAAACAAAAAAATCCAAATGGTCAGGTAGAAAGGAAGACAGAAACAAAAAAAGGGAAGCTAAATTTAAAAAAGCAAAACTCCACCAGATAGGAAGACTAACTTTTTTTTCCAGGCTGCATCTCTCTTCAGAAAATATTCCTCTGTCCCTCTCCTTCACACCCTGACTTTTACATACTCCTGTTTCCTTGGCCCCCAGATCCATTAACTCTAATGTCCAGATTTCTGAGTCTTGTTTGCACTTAACTGTATATTTATGCAGTATATGTCTTTTAGAAAAAACTAATCCAAACTTTTATTCCTTCACTGTGTTCTAACAAGCTATGATGTATTCCAGCACCAAAACTTCCCACAAATTCCTAGCATAAGCAGCAATTCCAGTACGGGTGCACTCAGATGTCACTTTAAACCAATATATGTGTGAACACAGCTGTGCTTATGCCTCATTCTCTCATGCAGAGAATCCCAGTTAGAAACTAACTCATTATAGAAACTAACTCATTACCTACTATACATGAAGGCAGGTGCACAGGCTAATTGGAGCTAAATTTTCTCTCCAAGAGCCAGAATTCTACATGAGATAAAGATTTATACCCCCAGTTCATGCAGAGAAACTAACTCTGATTAACCCACATGCCAGCGTTTATATATATCACTGAGTAATCAGAATTACTTTCTAACCAGGATTTTCTATGTGAAAAGAGAAGCAGGCAATAGACTAGGTTTGTGCACATGTCAAGTTTAAGTGACATCTGAACGCAGCCAGAATAACTCCCTGTCTTCTACACTGTGAAAGAGGAACTGTTTTAAAGAAACTTAAACTCATCATATTCTGTGTAGAATCTTCTATACAGCCAATTTTGACGAAAGACCTCTACCTGATATCCTACATGTTCATTACTCCATGGATCAAACGGCAGTCTTTCTGGGTGAGAATTTACCACCATAGAACCTGACAAGGCATCTCTTGGCAAGCCACAACTCTGGGAGTTCTGTAAACCAAAACCAAAGGGATTAATTATATGGATTGACACCATGTTATCCTTGTAACAATTTATCCTTAGTACCATATAAAGACTTCAAATTAGGTACGAGAGATTGAAGGCTTGACTCCAGGCTCTGATAACTCACTTCACATACAATTCTAGACTGAGAAAATTTCAACAACGGTTTGCTGACAATATATACAAAAGGAATATTTACAGTGCATTGTCCTCTTCATCCGTTTCACATTTTACTTGGGTTTTTTTGTATTTTATAAAGAACAGAAAGGTGAAAGGAGCCACAAATTAAGAAACAATTTTATGTGTTATGTATTTTTGCACAACTTAAAAACAAAGTTTACAAGGCTTCATTGTTCCTGGAAAAAACCCTTAAGGCCTTAAATATATTAAAATTACATAACACTGCTATGGCAAGAAGTATGAGTAGTATTTTTGTTTCTGATTTATTAAATAAGCTAATATTAGTTGGGACGGCAAAGGATGAGATGGTTAGACAGTGTCATCGATGCAACGAACATGAAGTTGAGCCAACTTCAGAGGACGGCGGAAGACAGGAGGGCCTGGCGGGAGCTAGTTCATGGGGTCGCAAAGAGTCGGACTCGACTGTGCGACTGAACAACAACAAAAGTTGGCTAGCTTTGAGTACTAATGGAGGTCCTGGTCACTGCCACTGCCAGGTCTGCCTTTTGTCATCTAAGGCAGGTCAGGCAGTTGGCCCCATATCTCACCCTCCCCCCCCCCCAATCTGGCTGCGGGGACCCATGCAACAGTCACTTCCAGATTAGACTATTTTAATTCTCTCTATTTGAGACTTCCCTTGACTCTGCTCTGGAAATTGTAGCTAATGCAGAACACAGTGGCACAGGTGTTGTCGCTACCTGTGGGCACATATCTGCCTGGTGCTGCATGACCTGCAGTGGCTGGCTATCGAATACCAGATCCGTTTCAAGGTGGTGGTACTTACCTTTAACGCCCTATACAGCCAGAGGCCTGCATATCTTCAAGACCACCTCTCCCCATACGAGCACCATAGAACATTGCGTTCTGCCAATCAACATCTCCTAATAGTCCCTGGCCCAAGGGATGTCCGACTTGCCTCAATTACGGCCAGGGCTGTTTCGGCCCTGGCCCCTGCCTGGTGGAATGAGCTACCATACGAGATCAGGGCCCTGCAGGACCTATTACAGTTCCTCAGGGCCTGCAAGACGGAGCTCTTCTGCCAGGCCTTTGAGGCAGCGGGCAGCTATTCTGATTAGGCCTCCCCCCAGTGACCACAGATCCTGAAATCCAGACTGGGGCCATACTATCTGCCACTGAGGCACGTTGTTCAAAATGGTGATGATTTTAGTGAATTAAGGCTGATGGTTTTATGGGTTTGAATTGATTATTGTCATATGTTTTAATTTGTAAATCTGCATTAATTGCAGATAGATAGATATATGTTGGTACCCGCTCTGAGTCTACAATGTGGGGAGGGCGAGATATAAGTCTAATGAAATAAATAAATAAAATTGAAACAATTACACATTTTAAACAATTATTATATTATAGGCCTATCACAAATTTGAATACTGTATTATTGCTAACCATTCACTCATTCTATGTGTATTTAATATTTATGTTTAATATTTAGACAAGGTTCAACGTTTATACGAAGTTTACACACACACCTCTGTCATAGTAAATTATTTTGGAGTTGCTGCTTCAGTTGACTGGAGATCAATGTCTCAATCACCTATGGAAGCTGGGAACATAACACATAACAGTTTAAAAGATGATGACAATGATGAATTTCCACCTTGCAGTAATAATGACCATAGTATTTTGTGGTTTCTTCTCCACTTCAAATAGCTCAGGTGTGCAAAAATCAATATGCAATCTTACGCCTATATTTTTCACAGAGCAGTTCATCTCCTTGCAACACATATACGCGTATATCTGTAAAGTTACTGAATGCAGTTGGTATTACACTAAACATGCAGCAAATCAGAACTATACAGAGACACAATCACTTTCCATCTTCAAGCTATACGCCACTGGTTTCTGTTTAAGAAACTGCATTTGCCACCTTCCTAAGAGCATCAAGGCCTCCCTGAAGAACGTGACTGTACAACTACAAGTGCTCAGAAACTTTTGGTTTTTTGTACCACCATTTCTGTAATACAGAGCAGCACATGAAAAACCCATTGAGTCAAATGCAGCCCACTCGGTCAAGTGTGCTATGCTTGGCGGATCGCTGCTACAAAACAGTTCTAAAACTTACATAGCTACCATATGTGATCGTGGTCTCTCAACACACTCTCCCACATTAACCGATCGTAGCAACCAAATATTTCAAAAGAGACACAAATGTACTTTAACGGCTATAATCCTGTGCATGCTTACCTGTGAACAACTGACTGCACAGAGAGCTACTGCCAAGTAAACATCAATCAGATTGCCAATGTCTGGTGCAAAAACACAAGCACTAGCCAAATAAAAAGTATAACTCAGTGAGTCTAACAAATAAACACAAAACCCAGGCTGTACAAAAGTAACAACAGTTCTGTAGCAGGTGTACTTCTCTTGGTAACTGCATGCAGATGTTTTCCAGTTACTCAAAGCCGTTCAGCAGGAACAAAAGAGGAGTGCTTTTAAAAACATGTGAACAGCTTCAAAGTTTGAGACGCTTGCTGAGTACCGAACTTCTTGATTCCAGCTTGTCTGACCCCAGATTGCAATAAAGAGCCAGTCTTCTAAACCTGCAAACTACTTCGACTCACATGACAAAGTAGAACATAATTTAAAGCCAACAACCATAATCCTTGGCTATAAACTGAATACGGCTAATGAAATCTGGGCAGAAAAGCCTTCCAGCGTATGAAAGGCCCAAATTGCAATACTTCGAACACATGTAAGCAGTGTTCCCTCTACGCTGAATTAGTGTGCGCCAGCTCACCGTTTTTTTAGCCTCCGGCTCACTCATTTGTGTCTTAGCTAAAGAAAGAGGGCTCCAGAACAAAGTAACTGATGCAGGAGCCAAGTTGCTCGCTCGCAACTTTAATGCCAGGAGCTCACCAAGTAGACTTTTTTGCTCACAGGACTCCACAGCTTAGAGGGTGAGCATTGCATGTAAGCGAGAACAGCATCACCTGACCAGCTATCGCCCCACAGGGCTCCTCTGTCCTCCTCGAGCAATCGTTCTCACTGTCCCGCGCCAGGCACGAGGTAGAAAAAGTTACCGCCGCCCACCTGGTCCTTTAAAAGGACGCAGCCTTCCCTCCTCTCGGTCCAGAAGCCGCAGTCTTCCAGCCGCGGCCGTTACAGGCGGACTCCCAGGTTGGGCGTTGCAGGAAGTCAACGCTCTCTCGGACCACCCCTAGCGTGGGTTGGGTTTCAGTCGCCGCCCTCCGCCGGCTGCTTTGGCTCCGCCTGCAGGGGAGCAGGAAGGAATCGACGGACGACGGAGCAAATCATCGCGATTGCGTTTATGCAGCTTTGCTCTAAAGTAGCCCATTTTGCTTTGTCTTTTCGTAGCAGGAACGCCTTTGCATGTTAGGCGACACAGACCCCTAATGGGGCCGATCCTCCAAGAGCTTACAGTGGCCCCTGTAAGAAGAGCTCTGCAAGCTCTTGGAGGATCGGCTACATTAGGGGTGTGTCGCCTAATATGCAAAGGAGTTCCTGCTACAAAAAAAAAAAAACCCTGTTCGTGGGATTTACTTTTAAGTAAGTATGTATGTTCAGCAGTTCGAGACCCGAGCGTGCCGCAAGACGGAGTGAGCTCCCGTCTCTAGTTCCAGCTCCTGCCGACCTAGCAGTTCGAAAGCAAGAAATTGCAAGTAGATAAATAGGGACCACTTCGATGGGAAGGGAACAGCGTTCCGTGTGCCTTGGTGTTTAGCCATGCCGGCCACATGACCACGGAAACGTCTTCGGACAGCGCTGGCTCTTCGGCTTGGAAACGGAGATGAGCACCGCAACCCTAGAGTCGGATTCGACTGGCTTTCGAGCAAGGACACCTTTACCTTTTTAAGTATGCATGAGCTGCGTCAGATAGATTTCACTATTCAGGGATGTTCCCCTCGAAGAGGGGGGGGGGAAATATGCTGCTGCTGTCTTTCACGGAGACGCGAGCGCTCCCGCATTTTGCAGTGAGGATTGCGCCCTTTTCCCTGACGCCCTCAAGGGACAGTCAACAGGTGAAGCTTCCCGACCACACTAGAGGCAACTATGCTGGCTAAACTTTTCCGTCTCACACAGGGAAAGGAGTAGTACTGCTATGTGGCACAGGGCAGAATATATCAGAAAAGAAGGATTCAGCCAAAGCGTTGGTTCATCAAGGTCAATGCTGTCTACTCAGACTGGCAGTGGCTCTCAGGGCACAGGTCTTTCACATCACTGACACCTGATCCTTTCAACTGGAGATGCCAGCGATTCAACCTGGGACATTCTCATGCAAAGCAGATGCTTTAACAATGAGCCATGTTCTCTCTGTTCATAAAAGGAGCAGTGCCCATTCTTCTTGGAAGGTTTCTTGTATGCATGGGTGCACATTTACATACTGCATTTTTCAGGAGTCAGTTCAAGATATTTTAGGGAAGGGAGGAGATATCCCTTAGCAACCTTCATCCACTACACTATTACACTGTCTTTGTAGTGAAGCAAGCATTCACAACCATTGTTCCCTCTAAGCTGAGTTAGAGTGAGCTAACTCACAGAGAAGACCTTGATGCTGGGAAAGATTGAAGGTCAAAGAAGACGGGGACGGCAAAGGATGAGATGGTTAGACAGTGTCATCGATGCAACGAACATGAAGTTGAGCAACCTTCAGAGGATGGCGGAAGACCGGAAGGCCTGGCGGGAGCTGGTCCATGGGGTCGCAAAGAGTCGGACTTGACTGTGCGACTGAACAACAACAACTCACAGTTATTTAGCTTCCAGCTCACACATTTTTGTTTCAGCTCAGGAAAGATGGCTCCAGAGCAAACCAATTTATGCAGTAGCCAAATTGCTCGCTCGCTACTTTAATGCCAGAAGCTCACAAAGTAGAATTTTTGCTCACAAGACTTCACAGCTTAGAGGGAACATTGTTCACAACTGGAGTGTTCTGCAAACAAACCAATCCACTTATGAATGATTGCTATAGTACAATATTGAAATGGACAAGGGCTGACAAGTTGAAAAGTAATCCTGGCAAAATGGAGGTGCTATCGGTGTGTGGACTTCAGCAGTACATAGATAGAGAACTGCCAGAAGTACGAGCCAGGTTTTGAAGAGGTAGAGGAATGAGAGATCAAACTGCCAACATTCGCTGGATTATGGAGAAAGCAAGGGAGTACCAGAAAAACATCTCCTTCTGCTTCATTGACTACGTTAAAGCCTTTGTGTGGACCACAACAAATTATGGCAAGTCATTAAAGAGATGGGAGTACCAGACCACCTCACATGTCTCCTGAGCAATCTGTATAAGGGTCAAGAAGCAACAGTTAGAACAGGATATGGAACAACTGATTGGTTTGGCACAGGAAAAGGCGTACGGCAAGGATGTATATTGTCACCCTGCTTATTTAACTTATATGCAGAGTATATCATGCGAAATGCTGGCCTGGATGAATCACAACCCAGAATTGAGATTGCAGGGGAAAACATCAACAACCTCAGATATGCAGACGATGCCACTCTAATGGTAGAAAGTGAAGAGGACCTCAAGAGCCTCTTGCTCAAGATAAAAGAGGAGAGCGCAAAGGTTGTCTTGAAACTCAACATCAAAAAACCTAAGATCATGGCATCTGGCCCCATCACTCCTTGACAAATAGAAGAAGTCGTGGAAGCAGTGACAGACTTCACGTTCCTGGGATCCAAGATCACTGCAGATGGTGACTGCAGCCGTGAAATTAAAAGATGGGAGGAAAGCGATGGCGAACCTAGCCAGCATAATCAAAAGTAGAGAGATTACCCTGCCAACAAAATACAGAGGTCCTGTTATTTTAGGAACATAAAATATGACTATGGACATTTTTACTTGGCATGAAATTATCACAACTAGCATATTAAAATATAGTGTATCCAAACAATTATTACAAACAGAATACCCACCCACATGCAAAAACAACACTGAAACCTTTTTATTTTCTTCTTCTTCCTCTTAAAGGAAGAAATGCATCTTGTTCTTGCATTGGAGAGTTCAGTTTGTAACCTAGGATCAATTTTTCCAATTTTTCGGGGAAAAACAAAAAAGGCTTCAGGAAAAAAACGGGGAAAAAACGTTTTTTCCCTAATTTTCCCGTTTTTTTTCCGGGCCTTTACATCTCTAGACGAGAGTGTTGGACTAGATGAGCCATTGGCCTGATCCAACATTGGCTTCTCTTATGTGCTTATGTTCTTATTGTCCACTCTGAAGAGGATTGCATAATCACAACACACCGCACAGAAGTGGGAGCCAAGGTATATGCAGCCGCGAATGTGATAATTTGTTAATCTTTTAAGGTTCCACCAGACTGAGGTATATATTTTTTACTTTCCTTTAAGTGTGCTTAGAAAGAATTGCAATCTTATTGAGGAGCAGAAGCGGGGGGCGGGTGTTTCTTTACTTCCGCTAAATAAGCGTCGATTCCGATGGTACTCTTTACTGGAGGCTGAGTATAGACTCGGGAAATAATAATCCTTTTTTATATTAACGGAAATAGAAAAGAAGGCGTGAAAGATGCAAAGAGTTCCGGCCGGTTGCTGAGAGGAAAGGGTAGGGGGGAGGACAGCGGACGTGCACTGCGCAGGGACGGAGCGCTTCAAACCCGCAACCGCACGAGTCGAAACGGGAGGACCGGCACTCTTTCGCGGAGGGGCGCGGCGGTCGGCCGAGGGAGGGCGGGAGGCGCGAGCAGGTGCGTTGCCGGGCGAAGGGGCGATGCGCTGAGCGCGTCCTCCAATCGATGCGCTCCCGCTCGCTCTCCCTCCCCCGGGGCCCAACCGCCATTTTGCGAGCTGAGGCCAGAAGGAACGAGCGGGGGAAGCCGCCGCCAGGAGAGCCGCCGCAGGTACGCAGGGGAGAGCCGGCGAAGCCGCTCCGCCCTCCCTAACGGGCTGGGTGGGAAGGGAAAAGGGCTGGGTGGGAAGTCCCGCGGACTTGGCGGGCCGTACTTACTGTTCTGCGCAGCCGCGCCGACACCCCCCCCACACACACACACCCTTGCCTCCCGGGAAAGGCCTTGGCCAAGGCGGGCGATCTGGCCAGCTCCGTCGTGTGCGCCTTCTGGCTCTTCTGCCATGTGGGGTTGGTCAGTCCGGCCCTTCTCCCCCAACCTCAGTGTTATTCTATATTGATTCCCCCCGTCCCGTCCCATTTCAGACTGCTGTGTATAAATACACTTCAAACAAGATACAAACAGGGGTCACAGTGTGCAGGTACATGCCAACAAACAAGAAACCACTGTGATCAATGACAATGACACATTTAATAATTTAGCCTTGAAGTACAAATACACTGGCTGGGCTGCACGTATTTTTAAGGCCCGCGGCCCATTGCGTCCCACGGTTATTAATCCAGATTAATACCCGCTCATCCCTTTTGCCATTTTTTTTTGCCAACACATATTTTAACGGTAGTTTGAGTCGTTCCAACATCAGCCACAACCGTAAGGAGGGGGGGGAGAGAGAGAGAGCATCCAGGGGCAGATTAGCCATTAAGCGGACTAAGCAGGTGCTTAGGGCACCAGGGCCAAAGGGGGCACCACAAAGTTGGGGAAAGGGTGAAAAGCTTAGTTTGTACAGTATATTGTGTTATCCTAGGAATACATTTTTGTACTGCTGCAACCTGCATTGTATACCTGGTCAGACAGGTCAACAACTAAAATGGACTGGGGGTCAGTGTGGAAAGGAGGGGGGGCACCAAGATTGGTCAGTGCTCAGGGCACCAGTGAGCCTTAATCCACCCTCGCGAGCATCCAGTCCTAGCTGCAAAATTGTTAGATGACTAACCTGGAGTGGACGTGGTTGCTGGTTTGTTTAGTTTGTGTCTCTTGTTTTTGGTACACCCACCATAGAAACAGAGTCCCGCTTTTATATCTTCAAACCTTATACTTCCAGGCAGGGGCACACACGCTGATGAAGAGCTCTACAGAACTAAAAAGATATGATGCACAGTTTGTTTTGGAATGTAGATAGTGGCTCTTTACTAGAGATGTGAAGGCCCGGAAAAAAAACAGGAAAATTTGGGAGGAAATTTCCCCCTGTTTTTTCCCTGAAGTTTTTTTGTTTGTTTTTTTACGAAAAATTGGAAAAATTGGAAAAAGAAAAGAAAAAAATTGATTATGGAACGTTTTATTTTAACATGATGAATAAAATATTTTAAGACAAGGTGTTCAAATATTTTCCAAATCATTTCTAAATATATATATATATATATATATGGTATCAGATTGATCTAATTTCTGTTCACTGAGGACAAGCAAGTCCTAGGTTACAAACTGAACTCTCCAATGCAAGAACAAGATGCATTTCTTCCTTTAAGAGGTGCTATTGTCAGAAGAAAATAAAAAGGTTTCAGTTTTGTTTTTGCATGTGGGTGGGTATTCTGTTTGTAATAATTGTTTGGATACACTATATTTTTAATATGCTAGTTGTGATAATTTCATGCCAAGTAAAAATGTCCATAGTCATATTTTATGTTCCTAAAGTAACAGAATGACTTTCAATCTAGAAAAGACAAAAGAAATGCTAATGTAGCTTTTTCAATTTTTCCAAAAATTTCCAAAAATTGCATCTCTTGTTCTGTGTACCTACCCAGCAACACCTATTTTCTCTAGGTTCTTCAAACATGGGATATCTGTTCTACCTTGCTAGAATTTCTCCATTGTAATTTATGTAGTATTATGTATGTCTTCATTTGTTGTGATACGAGCATTGTGTGTATGTTTTGCTACACCTTCATTATTCTATTTCCAAATCTTGTTGAGGTGTGGTAAATCCAAGCCTTAAGCATGGTTCTTGTTCTCTATCATCCCAAATCTATCAATGTCACAGCTGTAATTCAGTATTTCAGCTCTGAATTCGAAGCAAGTCAGATGACAATTGGAGTGCAGTAACCATCCAATCCACAGTCCCAAATGTGTACTTTCAATTGATTTGGATTGCACTCTACTTCCTAAGCAACCTTAATCTCTGGTAGGCTGATACTTTTATGTGAGGGACACTTTGAGGAGGCAATTAAGGAATGTGGAGACTGGGAATGTGCTGTGGGTTTAAGAGTCTCCACTCTTCTTCAAATTCATCTTCCATTGCCTTTCTATAACCATTATCTGGCATTACAAAAGCATCTAACTATGGTCGGACCTGACCAAAATTGCTTTGAAATCGTTGTTTGAAGTGGGTTGTCAAAGGGCCCATAGGTTCAGTCTCTGGCATCTTCTGGTAGAAGGATTTTGGAGGGCCTTTGAAAGTTTAGGGAGTTAATCCCTGTCACAGTAAAACCACACTTGGCCAATAATGGCAAACGGTGATTTCCTAAATGCACATTCAGCACTTGAGTGCCACTGCTGCTGCTGACCCTAATCCAGAGTCATGATGTAGCCCTCATTTGTAAATAGTTTGTTAACACGTACTAACAGTGCAATCCTAAAAAGAGTCAGAAGGGTGTAAGTCCATTGAAGTCAATGAACTTAGAAGGATGTGACTCTGCTTAGGGTTGCACTGTAAATCTCCTTCAGGCGTCCTGGAGGCATTTGTTCCTTTTATTTTCCAGGCCACCGTACTCCAAATTGCTGACAGCTATACCTAGAAAGATTGTTGTTGTTGTTCAGTTGCACAGTCGAGTCCGACTCTTCACGACGACCCCATGGACCACATCATGTCAGGCCCTCCTGAAGTTTGCTCAATTTCATGTTCGTTGCATCTATGACACTGTCTAACGATCTCATCCTTTGCCGTCCCCTTCTTTGTCCTTCAATCTTTCCCAGCATCAGGGTCTTCTCCAGTGAGTGCTCCCTTCTCATTTGGTGGCCAAAGTATTTGAGCTTCAGCTTCAGTATCTGGCCTTCCAGGGAACGGTCAGGGTTGATTTCTTTTAGGATTGACTGATCTCCTTGCAGTCCAGGGGACTCTCAAGAGTCTTCTCCAGCACCATAGTTCAAAAGAATCTATTCTTTGGCGCTCAGCCTTCCTTATAGTCCAACTCTCGCAGGCATACACTACTACTGGGAATACCATTGCTTTGACCATACGGACTTTTTTTGATGGCAGGGTGATGTCTCTACTTTTTAATATGCTGGTTAGGTTTGCCATTGCTTTTCTTCCAAGGAGCAGGCATATTTTAATTTCATGGCTGCAGTCACCGTCTGCAGTAATCTTGGATCCCAGGAACGTGATGTCTGTCACTGCTTCCACGATTTCTCCTTCTGTTTGCCAAGGAGTGATGGGGCCGGATGCCATGATCTTAGTTTTTTTGATGTTGAGTTTCAAGCCAACCTTTGCGCTCTCCTCTTTTATCTTAAGCAAGAGGCTCTTAAGGTCCTCTTCACTTTCTGCCATTAGAGTGGTATCGTCTGCATATCTGAGGTTGTTGATGTTTTTTCCAGCAATCTTAATTCTGGCTTCTGACTCATCCAGGCTGGCATTTTGCATTATTTTATTAAATTAAATAAGCAAGGGGACAATATACATCCTTGCCGTAATCCTTTTACTATGCCAAACCAATCAGTTGTTCCATATCCTGTTCTAACTGTCGCTTCTTGACCCTTATACAGATTTCTCAAGAGACATGTGAGGTGGTCTGGTACTCCCATCTCTTTAAGGACTTGCCACAGGTTGTTGTGATCCACACAATCCACAAAGATTAGTTGAAGACTAATAACTTCGAGCCAACCTATGCATTATATTTGTAAGGAGCTGGGTATATTTATTTTTTATTTATTGGATTTATTAATTGCCTGATCCTTGCTATTGCCGGACTCTGGGCAATGTACAGGATCCATAAAACACAACCAGATAAAACCATTAGAAGGAGAAGAGAAGAAGAGATTGGATTTATACCCCGCCCTTCACTTGGCGTCTCAGAGCAGCTTACAAACTCCTTTCCCTTCCCCTCCCCACAACTAACACCCTGTGAGGTGGGTGGGGCTGAGAGAACTCTGACACAAACTGCTCTTTTTCATGGACAGCTGTGCCAGAGCTTGTGACTGACCCAAGGTCACATCAGCAGGTGCAAGTGGAGGAGTTCTCCCAGATTAGAGTCCGCACACTTAACCACTACACCAAACTAGAACATTAATAACACATATCTGAAGAACAGAGATGGTGAATACTAATTCATCCAATTTCAGACTGCTAGCTTTTTCGTGGGCGGGAAGGAGAGGGCAAAATAAAGGTAAACAGCAGGAGGGATGAGAAAGAGTGCCAAGCCAAGAAGGAAACCATCGCTGTCCTCAACCAAGAGCTTTCCCCACAGCCACAAAGCCGCTTCAGGGAACTACTTTTTATAGTACTGCAGAGGCCTGGTTTGGCTTAGGACCACAGCTTGGAGGAGGAGGGGTTTCTGCCCCCCCCCCCCACGGGGGTGCTATTTTCCCAGTGCAGATCCAAAACAGCACAAATAAGTTTCCTGGGCTGTTTCAGTTTGGGAAATGGCACGAGGAAGGCAGAAGCCCCTCCTCATACCAGACCATGGTCCTGAGCTGAATTCAGTTCTTGCAGTGCTTTAGAAAGGAGTGCTCTGTGGCTGTGAGGAAAGCAAGTGTGCATCCGCAGAAGACAAATCATGACTGCATCCACACAGCAAGGATTCGCAGCCCATCAGTACCGTACCATGAATGCAGAGGCATTAGCGCTGTCAGCAATGGTATATTCGACCGGAAGATTTGGGAACACTTCCCTTCTCCAGCTACCATTTTCCTTGCACGTTCCCCCCCATCACCACTAGAGGGTTTTCTGGGGGCTTTCTAAAAGTCAGGAATTGCAACAACTATAACAATCTAGTGTTGTGACAACTATAACAATCTAGTACTTCCACTGAATTAGTTTCTTTTTTAAAGCAAGCCCCCTTTTTGTTATAGAGATACGAGGAAACACCTTATAAAAGTCCTTTCCCATTAAATTTCTGCAAGGGAAAAGGTGAGTTTTTAAAAAGAAAATCTTGACAGCTAGTAAATTGTGGTAGTACACCATTAGAACATTATTGTGTAACAGCAGTTTTTTAAAGTCCTCCTGTAGAGCGCCAGTGAAAATCAGCTCATCTAATGGAAGAAGAAAGTGATTTCTCTATTTCACCATTGTAGCCTCCTGATCTGTGTGGGTATGAGTCCATGCAGGTCCCCCAGCCCTGGGAGCAAACGTTCCTGGGGTCAAAAGTGGCTATTGGGGGTGGTGGTGGAGGAACTGGGAAGAAGAGGTGGTTAAACTGAATCCAGGTGAGTATGTATATGTCGAAGTAAATGCTCAATTTCCTTTCCAGTCCATGTCATCATTTATGATCAAAGTATTATGCTCGTGCCATGCACTTTCTAATAATCCTGATGGTAATTATTGCTCACTCCTGGGTTATTTAGTAAGGCTGTTTGGACCACTTCATTAAAGACAGTCTAATCGAAGTCTGGGCTAAGGTCTTGGTCTATTGGGCAGCTGCATAGGAAATCCTGTGTGTGTAACTTTAAATTTTCTGTTGGGGAGGGGACACCCACTCCTGCACAATGTGGTGGCCAAGTTTGGAGGTATTTCAGAGGGAACCTCAAATGCAGAATTGAACAGCAGGGGTGATGGTGGTGAAGTCTAGTGTATATGTGCAAACTCTCTCGTGTGCCTGAAGGCGTGCCTGGATTGTAGGCTCAGAGTTCATCATATACTAATGCATGTTTAAACTTCTATTACTACAGACCTCACTACAATTACCAGGACAACATGAGTGATCTGGTTGCTGTCTGGGAAGTTGCTTTAAGTGATGGTATTCACAAGATTGAATTTGAACATGGGACCACATCTGGCAAACGAGTTGTGTATGTAGATGGAAAGGTAGGACTGTTATATAAAATGTATGCAGAGTAATTTTTTTTTTGGGGGGGGGGTTGTGTGTGTGTATGTGCTTGCATGCCTAGAAATCATGGTGACTTCTGGCAACCCCTAGTGGGGCCTGGATGTTTCAGAGGGGTGGCTTGATTGCCTTCCTCTGCATCCCGAGCCCTGATATTCTTTGGAGATCTCTCTTCCAATTACTTGCCAGGGTCAGCCCTGCTTAGCGTCCAAGATCTGATGAGAGCAGGCTTGCCTGGGCTATCCAGGTCAGGGCAGGAGTAATTTTGTTTTAAACAGTGGTCAAATCAGGCTAATTAAGGGAGTGTCAATAAGATTTCAGAAATCTCATCTGATACTGTGACTATCAGATCAACAGTGTTAATCCTAAAAACATTTTCCTGGGAGTAAGCCCACTGAATAGACTCAACTAGGATTCTGAGAAGACCTGCTTAGGGTACCACTGCAGTTGTTATTAAGTAAGTTGAAATTAAAGTTTTGGGCTAGGATCCAAAAAGGGATATGCACTTAGGGCCAAACTATATAAGATGTCTTTTAACAAATCAGGTCCAGGTTCCCCAGGCCCAGCTCACTTTCCGCACACAAAAAAACCTGCTTCTCTCCCACACCATTTTCCTGAGTCAAAATGGCCCTGTGGGGAGTCATGTGCCCCATTTTAGAGCTGCATTTTGGGAAACCTGGACTCAACTCATTCTCTGTCTGCCACATACTACTTTTTAACTTATTAGTTTTAAGCAGATTAGTAAAGTATAAAAAGCTTGACCTCATTTGGATGGATGTGAAAATCTAACACAAACACATAAAATATCACAGCTGAAAGAGTGATAGGTCTCCTACTATCTTCTAATAAAAGAAATAATCTCCATATGATCTGTATTTTGGAGCAAAGGAAGGTTTAAAAGGTTTCTAGGCTCAGAAAAGTAATTATTACATTTATAATATTTTTAAAAGTAATTATATTCAAAGGTCACGTGATACATTACCTGTACCAGAGTCGCATACTCTATCAGAGTGTGGTATCTTAAAATCCCTCCTTTGCAAAACTTTAAGGCATACTAGCATAAGGGCACGCCTATACCATGGAGCAGTCTAATATGAACATACGAAGAGTCCTGCTGGATCAGACCAGTAGTCCATCTAGTCCATCATCCTGTCTCACACAGTAGCCAGCCAGTTCCTCTGGATAGCCAGCAATAGGGCATAGAGGCTGAGGACTTCCCCTGATGTTGCCTCCTGGCTCTGGGATTCAGAGGATTAGTGCCTCTGAATGTGGAAGTTCCTGTCAGTCACCATGGCTAGTAACCATTAATAGGCTTATCCTCCATGAATCTATCTAATCCCCTTTTAAAGCTGCTTATTCCTGTGGTCTTCACTACATCCTCTGGAAGTGAATTCCACATTTTAATCACTCTCTGTGCAAAGTACAATTTCCTTTTGTCCGTCCTGAACCTACTGCCCATCAGCTTTATTGGATGCCCTCGAATTCTAGTATTTTGGGAGAGGGAGAAAAAATTATCTTGGTCAACTCTCTCTACACCGTGCATAATTTTATAAACCTCTTAGCTGTCTCTTTTCTAAACTGAAAAGTCCCAGACTCTTCAGCCTTTCCTCATAGGGAAGGTGCTCCAACCCCTTAATTATCTCAGTTTCCCTCCTCTGTACTTTTCCCGGCTGTGCAATGTCCTCTTGGAGAGACAGTGACCAGAAATGTACACAGTATTCCAATGGAGGCCACACCATAGATCTACACAGGGGCATTACAGTATTGGCCGTTTTATTCTCACTCCCTTTCCTAAGAATCCCTAACACAGAGTTTGCCTTTTTCATCGCTGCAGCACACTGGGTTGACACTTTCATATGACCCCAAGATCTTTTTCCCTCTCAGTCTTAGCAAGTTCAGACACCATTAGCCTATATACAGTATGCATCACCTTACACTTACCAACACTGAACTTCATTTGCCACATCGTTGCCCACTCAACCAGTTTGTGGAGGTCCTTTGGACCTCTTCACAGTCAGTCTAGGTTTCCCCATGCTGATTAATTTTGTGCCATCTGCAAACATGGCCACCACACTACTCACCCATAGGTAAAGGTAAAGGTTCCCTTGCTCGAAAGCCAGTCGAATCTGACTCTAGGGTTGCGGTGCTCATCTCCGTTTCAAAGCCGAAGAGCCAGCGCCGTCCGATGACGTTTCCGTGGTCATGTGGCCGGCATGACTAAATACCAAGGCACACGGAACGCTGTGACCTTCCCACCAAAGTGGTCCCTATTTATCTACTTGCAATTTCTTGCTTTCGAACTGCTAGGTTGGCAGGAGCTGGGACTAGAGACGGGAGCTCACTCCGTCATGCGGCACACTCGGGTCTCGAACTGCTGAACTGCCGACCTTCCACAGCCTGCAGTTCAGCGTCTTAACCACTTGAGCCACCGCAGCTCACCCCTAGTTCCAGATAATTTAGTACCGGCCCTTGTGGGACCACACTGCTTACTTCCCTCCATTGTGAGAAATGTCCATTGATTCCTACTCTTGGCTTTCTGTCATTTAACCACTTTTTAACGTGTAAGAGAATCTGTCCTCTTACCACATGACTGCTAAGTTTACTTGGGAGTCTTTGGTGAGGTACTTGTCAAAAACCCTTTGAAAGTCCAAGTATATAATGTCTGCTGGACCACCGTTGTCTACATGCTTGTTTACTTTCTCAGAAAACTCCAAAAGGTTTGTGAGGCTGGACTTCCCTTTGCAAAAGCCATGCTGATTTTCCCTCAGCAGGCTTTGTCCCTCTACATGACTAACAATTCTATTTTTAATTAGTTTCTACTAATTTCCCTGGGACAGACGTTAGGCTGACTGGCCAGTAATTTCCTGTTTCCCCTCTGGATCCCATTTTAAAAATTGGTGTAACGTTTACTACTTTCCAGTCTTCTAGCACAGCGGCTGAATGTAGTGATTTTAGTGAATTTAGTTACATATACAGGTTAGTAGATCACCTGTCTCACATCTGAGTTCTTTAAGAACTCTCAGGTATATGTCATCAGGACCTGGAGACTTATCTGTTTGAATTTCCCCAGTAGGTCTAACATTTTTGTTCTCGTCACTTCAATTTGGCTCAGTTCTTCAGACTCCTTCCTGAAAATAGGGGCTGTCCGTCCTATCCACAGTGAACACAAAAGCAAAAACGTTGTTGAGGTTCTCTGCCATCTCCCCATCTTCCTTTAGCAATTCCTTTGTCATCGAAAGGCCTCACTGCTTCTCTGGCTGTTTTCGTGCTCGGGATATATTTTTTAAAATGTTTGTTGTTTGTCTTGATGCTTTTAGCAACCCGCTCCTCAAAATCTCTTTTTGCATGCCTAATTTTGCCAGAGCCTGTGATCTTTCCTGTTCAATTCATTGGGGCAGAGTGACCTTCCACTTTTTAAAAGAAGCCTCTTTACTTTTAATAGCTTCCTTGACTTTTGTTGTTAACCACGCAGACCTTCTTTTGGACTTTGCAGCGCCTTTCCTAACCTGTGGAATGCATTCTAATGAAGACTTCCAAGCATCTTCGAAGGATTTGACTCTCTTGTGCTTCCCCTTCAGCTTCCTTTTTACTGTTCCCTACATTTTTGTAAAGTAATTGGGAAGCTCTCCAGGTGGAAGAATACCAGCAAACTGAGTAGAACATACACATTGTGCTTTACAGTTTGTACTGCTTGTGCTACTGTAATCACACATTTCTTAATTGTTCTTGTCTGGAATGAAGGGAGTCCAAGGAAAGATTGAGGTGCTGAAGTCATGGCTCAACAAGTTTATCCCAATGGGAAACATAAGAATCCTCTCTGACTAAGCTGGGGTAGCCCTCTTGGGGGTCGGAGTGTATAATTTTAACTTGCCTTCAACCAAGCCTGAGCTTCAAGAGATGGTTGTCCCAATTCAGTTTGGAGGGCCACCCTTGCTACACAGTTCGAAATTCCAGAGATGGAATGTAGGGATTTAAGAAGAATTGTATCCAAGGTCTCTCCTGTTTTATCAATCTAGATATCCAGCCCCATATAAACTTTGTGTGGCCACCTTGGCATTAAACAGTTTGATGGTGGCTGGGATGTACTGTGCCCCAGATGAATAAAAGAAACAACAGATAATATTTGATGCCACTGTAGCCAGTCTTTTAACATGAGCAGCTTGTACTGACCAAGTTAATCTCTGGTCAGACCAAACCCCTAAGTATTTAAAATAGGGGACCTCCTCAATATCATTAACATACCATGAATGTTCCACTTGGGGTGTATATGAGATCCCCCCCCCCAAAAAAAGACCTTGGATTTTTAATATAAATTAAACAATTGAGGTACCGGCACACACCCCTGCCGCATTCCCTGGTGTAGGGGAATTACATTGGAAAGTTGTCCGTCTAACCCAGTGGGATTAAAATACAGAATCTCAGTCAAAGCCAACAGTCTCTTGTCAACAGATGTTAATTTTACCTTGTGCCACAATTGGCATGGGGTACAGTATCAAAAGCCACCTTCAAATCTGTGAAGGCAGCAGCAAGGATTCCCCCGACCCTTGGTTGTATATTTATTAAGAACTGTAATGTCAGAAGATGGTCATCTGTATCAGCCTTTCATCTAAAACTGGCCTGTTCCCTACCCAAGATTTTATTCATCTCCAACCAGTCTACGAGTCAGTAATTTATTTATTTATTATTTACATTTCTATCCCGCCCTCCCCGCAGGCTCAGGGCGGCTTACAAGGCATGTCGCCACATAAAACAGTACAAAATATTAAACATACATCACAATTAATAACAGTTTTGGTGCTCCTCTAAACCAATTCCAAAGTTAAGATTTCTAAAAACAAAAGGGACAGAGCATAAATCTTCCAGGCCACTGATAAAAGGCTGATTGTCCTGTAGTTGGACAAACTGGTATTATGATAGCATGTCCCCAGGTGGATGGCATAACTCCTGGTGCAGTTATCTGAGTGACTTCGAGTGATGGTGGCTTCGAAGAGTTCTGGGGGGATTAAATCTGCAGCGAGGGCCTTCCCATTCTTCATTTGAGAAATCAGGAAACTAATTTCAGCTGGTAGAACTGGGGGGCCCACTCCGGTAGTTCAGCTGGGTTCCAATTACTCTGATATTCGTAGTTACTACAAGAACTAGCGAAGATATTAGCAAAGTATTCCTCCCGGGTATTCAAGGAGATATGAGGATGTGAAACAGAACTAACCAGCTTCCAAACTTCACTCAGATTGCCATTATTTCTGGCAGCTCTGATTAGCTTTTGCCAATTAGTAAGACAAGCTTCTTCTGTACTCTAGCATATAGCTTGTCTGTATGCTTTTTTCCAAAAAAGAAAAACATGTAGTGAAGAGCTAGCATGCCTATATTCTATAAGTGCCTGACAGCAAACTTTTTTTTAGTTATACTCAAGATTAAACCAGCTATTTTTTGTAGGTTTCAAGGCCTTATCTCCATAGATGGTTTAGGTGTCAAACTAATTTGTTACGAGAGCGGGCTCTGACATAAATGTCACTTTATTGGGCCGGGCCACAGGTGCCATAAAATCTAATGCCAGGTACAACAGATATAAACTTTATAAAGGGCCCAGGTAAAACCAATTTACAATACTATTTTTACTCAAAATATAAACATGCTTAAAACAGTCTTACAGTATTTCCTTACAATATCTCCGTGATGCCCACCCTCCCACTTCCACTGCCCATTACGCATTAGCACTGGGACATTATACAGGGACATAATGCAGAGTCTCTGTCGTCTGTAAGTAATGGTAACCAGTTGCTGACAGATATTTTTCTGGACAAATTAAATGACAGCAGCTTATTCCCTAATAAAATATGACTTTCATGCGCTTCTCAGATGAGAGAGATGCATGCGTATGTTGAAACTGCAGGCATTGATAAACTGCAGCACAAATCCAAATGTCCCAACCACTTATCTTATTCACTTGCTCAGAATGTTTTATTTTGTATTTTGCATCGAGTATTTACATTAAAATATTAAAGTAATTTATATACCATATTTAACCAAAAGGAAGATGACCCTCCTAAAGAAGGCTTATACACATTAACTGTATATAACTGTAACTCGTATGTGAATTTAAGATCACCACCTATTTTTCTTCCTGGCACTCTTAGCAGGGGAAAACTAGTTTCAGGTAAATAAAGGTATATGGTTGAAGATCTGGCTGACAGAAGATCTAGCTCATGTGATACTCTGGTGCTCTAGATATGTGCCAGAATGTGAGCAATTACTTAGGATCATTTAATCTCAATTTTATGGAAAACCAAGTCAGGTTAAACTAATGTCATTTTAGGCAAATCAAGTAGAGTATAGAATTGTCTGAATAAAGAAATAAAAGATCTTAAAATTATTTCCATTCCCGTGGTAACATGAGGTGAACATGGTTCTGCCCATGTTTTCACCATTGAAACGAAATGTCAGTTTCTACTAATGCCCAACTTCCTTTTTCCCCCCAGGAAATAATGAGAAAAGAATGGATGTTCAAGCTTGTAGGAAAAGAGACATTTATTGTTGGGGAAGCCAAGACAAAAGCTACCATTAACATTGATGCAGTCAGTGGCTTTGCATATGAATATACCTTGGAAATCAATGGAAAGAGCCTCAAGAAGTACTTGGAGAACAGGTCAAAGACCACAAACACTTGGATGGTAACCCTGGATGGAGCTGACTGTAGGATCGTGTTAGGTAGGCTATTCTCCTACAGAATCTGGTTGTATCTTTTGGCTGATTGTTTATATTTTTATTCAGTTGCGCTGTGATCCTCTCAAAAGAACACTGATCTGCCTTGAGTCTCTGCAAGGAAGCTAAACTATAAAGTACGTAAGTAACTAAATAGTAAAGTAAATAAATCTAAAGCAAATCCACTTGTGCTTGGCCCAGAAAACTTCCAGAATTAGTGCAGGGTATTCTTGATCAGGAAAGAATTTTGTAGTGCTTTGTACATTTTAGTAAGTTGAGTTAGTGACTGTTTTGTTGTCATCTAGCTACAGTCCTGTTGTTGTTAGTGGTATATTTTAAACTACACAGTGTTGGCTTTATGGTAATGATGCAGCAGGATTATTTGTTTGCAGGCATTTTGAGTGCTAAAGTAGAGTCTACATTCAGTAATTTACTAGGCGTTATCTTTACTGTATTAATTGAAACAGGCTACTTGTTCTAAAGGCTTCACTAGACCTTACAGTGCAACTGCTATTCATCTGTATTTTTTTCCATGTGTCATCCTGATAAATTCTAGTAGAAGAAAAATGTGACAGTGTACTTGGCAGTTCCTCACTCTCTGTAAACTGCAGTCAAGAAATTGAATCATGGATAGGAGAAATACTGAACATGAAGATGGTGTATTGCGCCTTTATTGTGAGAAATGCAGGTCCATGGAAGCTCCGTGGGTTCTCCCATAACTTCTAGTTGGGGGGTTATAAGGCCTTCCTGTGACAGTTGTTTCATGTTATCATAGAAACTCTTATTAATCAGGTCTCGCTGTGGCCATACAAGGCATGGGGTTATATTACCCTAGCTGAGGTACAAGCCTACATTTCATGCACAGTCAAGAACCAAAATGTCTATTGCCACAAGGGATTATTTCCAGAACTGTGTGTTCACCACAGTTCCAGAGAAGTGCAGAAAAAAGTACATCATGTGATTCATAATAATCACATCTCTTTTTTTAACGGAGGGTGGAGTTTCTTGCAGTTATATTTCTAATATGTTTGTAAGTTTGTGAGAAATACTTGCTAAAACAAGAAGAATCGGAGGGGTGGTTGAATAAGGTTTCCATTGTTTTGGGGTAGAGCTTTCATAGCTCTTCAGAACTCCTTGCCCTTCTCCATAACTCCTAAATCTGGAATATTCACAATAATTGAAATAGCAACATTACTATACAAATATGATTAATTATGCAAATTAGAGTAACTTGTACAGGCCACAAAATCCAACATTTGAGCTATGGCAAGGGCTCTTTTTCCACGTAACAGTACTCTGAGAAACAGGACTATTCTAACCCATCTGTAGGCTGTGTGCAGAGCAGAATATTTTTTGTGTGATTTGTATCACAAAAAGCTTGCTTAGTAAACTGTTCAGTGTGCATCATAGTCCTACTTCTGGGCAGGGACTAGTTCAGTGGCGGCCAAACTGTGGCTCTTTCACACATATTGTGCGGCTCCTGGCAGGGTGGCTGGAGAAAGTGCAGAAAAAAGTACATCATATGATTCATAATAATCACATCTCTTTTTTTAACGGAGGGTGGAGTTTCTTGCAGTTATATTTCTAATATGTTTGTAAGTTTGTGAGAAATACTTGCTAAAACAAGAAGAATCGGAGGGGTGGTTGAATAAGGTTTCCATTGTTTTGGGGTAGAGCTTTCATAGCTCTTCAGAACTCCTTGCCCTTCTCCATAACTCCCAAATCTGGAATATTCACAATAATTGAAATAGCAACATTACTATACAAATATGATTAATTATGCAAATTAGAGTAACTTGTACAGGCCACAAAATCCAACATTTGAGCTATGGCAAGGGCTCTTTTTCCACGTAACAGTACTCTGAGAAACAGGACTATTCTAACCCATCTGTAGGCTGTGTGCAGAGCAGAATATTTTTTGTGTGATTTGTATCACAAAAAGCTTGCTTAGTAAACTGTTCAGTGTGCATCATAGTCCTACTTCTGGGCAGGGACTAGTTCAGTGGCGGCCAAACTGTGGCTCTTTCACACATATTGTGCGGCTCCTGGCAGGGTGGCTGGAGAAGTTAAATATAATTGGCAAACAGATTATCATTGGACAAATAAATATAATTATCAATATCTGCTTTTACCGTTTTTGTTATTTTTTTGCAGTCTCACTTAATGTTAATAAAAAGTAAATGTGCATATTTCCCAGTAAAAACATGTAATATTTGTTCATGTCTTGCGGCTCTCAAACATTTGACATTTATTCTATGTGGCTCTTACGTTAAGCAAGTTTGGCCACCCCTGGACTAGTCGCATGAAAAGTAGTATCTCCTTTGAACAGGTATTAACTCTCTCTTGTTGTCCCTCATGTTTGGATAAAGTGTCACAAGATACCTGTCCTTCTTCTCAACTTTTTTGGTTGACTTTAACCTAGTCACCATAAACACCTCTCGAACGTCTGTTAATTTCCTTTTATTAGGGAAGGCCATTGGTCTCTGGCATCATGTCATTTCTGCCAACTTCAAGATGCTGTAGAGAGACCCAGGGTCCCTTTACCATATTTTCTCTCTGTATAGTCTTGCCCTCTGTTGAAAATATTAGTGTTTGTAAATGGTGCACAGCTTCATTTGTAGCATGATGACAAAAGAATCAACACCTGATCTCAGAAATCTGAAATAAGAAACTGCATATGTATAGCAAATGTACAAGCAATTAAAATCAAATTAAACATAACCTGCAAAAGAGGAGCTGTCATCTGAGCAAACCTGCACTGATGCTTAAACTTCATAATATAGAATTAGTCATATTACACACTTTTTTTGATGTCTACTTTTTACAGAGAAAGACACAATGGACGTCTGGTGCAATGGTAAAAAAATGGAAACAGCGGTATGTAACTTTCAATAACATGAAAAGGGGGGGGGGGGGGCTGAACAGTCAAGGAAACGGAACAAAGTTATCAGTAACAGTACATTCCTTGGTATTCTCTTCTCCCTACCAAAATATGTAGAATTGGGATAACTAAAATATAGAGATAGATTTGAAATAGTTAAGGTGTACCCTCTAAAACCAAGGAAATAAACACTTGAGCAATCCCTACTTTTAGTGGGATAGTAGCCTTTGGTTTTGAGTGGATTCTGGCCACTTTGAACACTAGCTTGTGCTTTAGAACAGCCCTTTAGTGAGTAGCAATTACTTGCAATATTCCAGAGTATTTGAAAAGTTCCGGTTTTTGCTTCCCCTTCTTTTGTTCCAGGGTGAATTCGTAGATGATGGGACAGAAACCCATTTCAGTATTGGAAACCATGATTGCTGCATTAAAGCAGTTAGTAGTGGGAAGAGAAGAGAGGGAATTATTCATATGCTCATTGTTGATGACAGAGAAATCCCAGAAGCTTTGGAATAATCTTCAGGTGTTCTGACTGCTACAGATAAAAAGATCAGGGATTTTCAATTACTGTGGTAATTGACCATTTTAATATGTACAACTGGGTACATTTTGTATGTGCTGCTTTATTTTCTAGTTACTGTATATTAAATTTATTGGAGGATCAGATAAGAATGTAAAATTATGTACAACCTCCAGCATTCTTAGCTATTTTGTAAATTATATAAATATATATTATGACACTAAAGGGGAATTTTGCTTAATGTACAAATTATTTACATGGAAAATTTTAATACAATAAAAATGCAGAATGAAACAGTATCTTGTGTTTTTAGACGTTCATATGTATGATTCTTTTCAAACCCTTAAAAATGTTTGGTCTGCTTTATTTTAGCAAATATTTTTGAAACTATGATCAGTAGTAATTCACTAGAGCACTTTAGCCTGCCTTCCCTGCTAGCTTTTGGCCAGTATAAATGGATATTCCTGACTGGGGTGCATGTAGGCTGCTCATTTTCTGAGCAGTAATGGTCTGCTCTTGGCCCAGTGAGAAGCACAGCCAACTAGATCTGCTTATATGGGAAGCACACATGAGTTAGGGCTGTTTGCTGGGGAAACAAAATCCATGTAATACTTTTTATTAGGACCAACCAAAATGGCCCTAATTAAAAGTATTAGCATGGATTGTGTTTCTTGTTCTGGATTTTCAGTGGGCCAGTATGGCTGTATAACGTTTTGCTTATTTGCTGGTGGTCAACCAGGGAAAGAGTGAAGAGTGATCCACTAAGTCTTATACTTATCCACTTTCATATATGCAGCTGTCCAGGGAAAAGTGATTAAAAGTCAAAAGGCACAGAACACCTACCTACACATGAAAGTCAAGAGACATAATTCAGGATCTGTGGTAGCTTTGTACATTCCCAGTCCTGTGCATGTGTTTACAGCTTGTTTGAGAATCCGACTGAATCTTATCAACAGTAAAGATGCCTATGGCTTCAGTTCCAAATGCTATTATTTCAGTGTTTGGTATCATAATCATAATCTAATAGCCACTGGTGACTGAACTTGTGGACTCCTATTAATAGCCCCACTTGAAATAAACACAAGGTTTTTGCTTCTAATTTGAGAGAAAAAAAATGTGGTTTTCTGATAGCCAAATTACAGTCTTCATTTATGAAGAAACACCTTTCAGAAAGCATTTAATTTCCTGTATTGCTCTCCTGTTGTTTTAGAACATTGCTTAAACTACTGCATAAGAAATATAAGCCCCCTGTAGGAAAAGATCAACAACCTCAGATATGCAGACGATACCACTCTAATGGCAGAAAGTGAAGAGGACCTAAAGAGCCTCTTGCTCAGTGTAAAAGAGGAGCGCGCAAAAGTGGGCTTGAAGCTCAACATCAAAAAAACTAAGATCATGGCCCCATCACTCCTTGGCAAATAGAAGGGGAAGTCGTGGAAGTAGTGACAGACTTCACATTCCTGGGATCCCCGATCACCGCTGACTGTGAAAGCAGCCATGAAATTAAAATATGCCTGCTCCTTGGAAGGAAAGCGATGGCGAACTTAAACAGCATGATAAAAAGTAGAGACATCACCCTGCCAACAAAAGTCTGTCTGGTCAAAGCAATAGTATTCCCAGTAGTCATGCATGGCTGCGAGAGTTGGACTAGAGATGGTTAGACAGTGTCATAGATGCAACGAACATGAAGTTGAGCAAACTTCAGAGGACGGTGGAAGACCGGAAGGGCCTGGCGTGATCTGGTCCATGGGGTCGCGAAGAGTTGGACTCGACTGTGCGACTGAACAACAGGACAAGAAATTGAATGGCATTTCCTGCTGCCTTACAACAGGGATAGCAAATTTCTTTAATATGGTGTACTTAATCCACATTATATGATTTCTTAATAAAGTTACCATCTTCCTGGTGGGGCCTGAAATTACAAGTGGTCTCCTTCCCCCGGGTGAGGTGCAGGGGGCGGGGCACATGACGAAGCCCCGCCCCCTGCTTCTGGCCACCCCGCTTCCAGCCCTCATTCAGCCAGGAGGAGGCAGGAGAAGAAGGGGGGTAAGTTGCTTCCTCCCCGCCTCTCCCCACCCCTGCCTGCCTGGGGCCAGGGAGGGCCTTGGCGGGGCTACCTCGCACTCCCGATGGCCTTGCAGGTCCACCGCCAGGCCCATGATGTCAGGGGGTGTGGCATATGCTAATGAGTTATGCTAATGAGTTCCCCTAGCTCTTTTTCTACGAAATGACCCCTGGACACCAATATATAATTTCTTTAATATGGTGTACCCTAATCCACATTATATGATCTCTTAATAAAGTTACCATCTTCATGGTGGGGCCTGAAATTACAAGTGGTCTCCAGACTACAAAGATTAGTTCCCCTGAGGAAGTGGAAGCTTCAGAGTATGCATTCTGTGGCATCCAATCCCCACTGAGCTTGCTCCCCTCACCAAATTCCACCCTCCTCAGGTACAACCTGCTCATCTCCAGGAATTTGCCAAGCTGGAGTTAGTAACCTTATCTGTTAACCATATATCATATAGGATAGCCTAGTTATCATTTGCCACTATAGGGAATATATTAACAGATGACAATACAATATTTTTTAGTATTTTTCACATCATGTAGCATTAAGATCTTAAAAGGCCATGTATAACACCATCATCTTTGGCCTAAATATCCGCCCTATATATGTACCAGCATACCTACAGTTAGTTTTTGCCTACAATGAAATAATATCTGAAAATCTGTACTATTATGGCTAAGGATGGGCACAAGCCAGCTGACGAATTACAGTTTGTCACGAATTTTGGCTGCATCGTGAAGCCACTCAGCTGTTTGGGTTAAATGGCTGGGAGCCATAAACCACTGCTTTCTGCTTCCCAGAAAAAGCTGCAGGGCGCAGAAAGCAGGGGTTTAAACTTTAAATGGCTCACAAACCAATATGAACCAGGTCAGTTTGCGGACCAACCTCCTTGTTCATATGGGTTCGTGGTTCAGTTCATGCCCATCCCTAATTATGGCATTGGTATAATCTAAAGTAAGCATGTGTGCAGTGGCATAGTAGGATCTGACCAATACATTGAACTAATGAAATACCTGCTAAAATACAGTATTAGTGTCTCTTATTAATTGCTAATGTATGAAACAAATTGCCTAAGATCATATATAAAAAACTTTTTGGGAGATTCTGAAATAAGCACTGATTCAGGCACATATTAAACAGAACTCAGTAAAATATATATCATGGATTGGATCCCACTGAAAATTTCCACATAGTTGTCAGGGGGAGATTTTTGGCACTTCCCCTTTCCTACAACAGACTCCACCACCCAGCTATTCTAGAGGGTCTTGCCCCCTTCAGAAGCAGCATTTCATGCGGCAGTAGGAGGAAGTGGGGAAGTTGTGCTTCCACATATGGAAATCCATCTGTACGTGGATATTTTAGGTGAGATCCAGGTCATCGTTAGGTGTTCTACAATATAATAAATGGCGCAAAATAAAATTTTCAAAGGGTTTGAAGTTGGTACTTTAATATACAGTGCAGTTCTATTGTAAATAAAATTACACGGTTTTAAGCTTCCTTTGCTGAAGCTGCTTATTAAGCAATTGAGATAATTTAAATCATTGCATGACAAGATTTTTCACTGTACTGAAGGGCTGCCATCTGTAGATGTTGTCTGATTACACAAACATAGCCCAGTGCCCACAGTCTGATGAAGTTTGAGGTCTCATATTTTCTAGGCTGATAACTCCAAATTTGTCTTCTCCCCTGGGTTCCAAATCAGGGAACAAGTCAACAAATACAGTGGCAGAGCCTGTTTCCTATTAAAAATGACAAAGATTTCAGGGTTGCGAATATCGTCAACTACGCTGTCATAGAGTTTCATTCCGCTTGCATTAATTAATGGTGGTACTACGTAGCTCTGATTGCCCCTAGTGTATAAGCCTGTTACAACCTCTGCCTCAAATGCACAGAGCAGATGGTCCATTTCACACTTTTCCCTGGTATCTGCCACAAGGTTCCTGGGATTCTTGTTGAAGTAGATGCCAGCTCCATACTTTTGGTCTGAAAAAAAGCAGACCGTTGACGTGGGTTATGTTCTTGTCATGGCACCGCGGCAAAACACAAGTGTTGGGTACCTGATTCTGCATCACGTTTGACCTGCTTTAAATCATGCCTCAGTTACAATCCTGAAGGACAGGCAACAACTCAGATACAGTGCTGAGTTACATCCTAAGAAGCCTTACTGTGAGTACAAGACACTTCAGCTCAATGGGGAGGTCTATCATTTCTGTGGATTTCCCGGTCTAGCTGCAGCCCTCCCCGGATGCTGACTCTCATACCGCTACCAAGGGTTCTCCCAAACTTTCAACATCTGCATTTCAGATGGCATGGGAGCTGAAGAAGAGAAGGGAGGTGGAAAACATCTCCATAAGTGGAACTTATGACTCTTTTAATCACTTTGACATTAAAAGATATGGAATTAATCATGGGAGGCAATGCAGAAGCGTAAAATCCAGCTCCATCTCGTAGATCAGCTTGGAAATCACAAAACTAATGCATGACGTGTTAAATTTCATTTCTCTTGCTTTTAGAGAGAAAGATCATATGAATATACTGAATTATAATAACTGGATATAACATATTACTGTTCCATTGGAATACTTACATAGGAATCCTCAAATTATATATCTGTATGGCTGTCAAATTGTGAAAATAATTTTCTGCAGGATTCTAGCTATTAATGGGGATATTTAATATATACGGATTTTACAAAAAAATTCAAAGGTACTTGTGCTTACCTTGTGAAGATGAATAAGTTGTCTGAAATCCAGTTTTGCAGACCAGACTGCAATACTGAGCTGGAACGCGATGGTATAACCTGTGTGTTACTGGCCTTCCACTATTTTTTCCTTCTACTTTTCTTTTAATCCTTTGGAAAGCAGATTCTAAGACAGGATTATATATTTTCTCTATCTGCAATAAACATTAACAATATATTATCCTTTAGCTCGTTACGTGTAGTACAATATGTATCAATTTTTCTACCAAGTCAAATCTGTGAACATTTAAATCTAGAGACTGGATCAGTGAACAGACTAGAAATCATAGAATTTTTTATTAAAAAGTTGGAAGGGGCCTAAAGACCATCCAGTCCAACCCCCTGCCCCATGCGGGATAACCTAAAACATCCCTGACAAATAATTGTCCAATCTCTGCTTAAACATCTCCAAGGTGGGAGAGCCCACAACATCCTTGGGCAACCAATTCCACAAATGAACTGCCCTTATCGTTAACTTTTCCTAATATCATGCCGATAGCTCCCCACCTGTAAGTTAAAATCATTATTATTAGAAGCAGAAGAAAAGAGATTGAATTTATACCCCACCCTTCACTCAAGAGTCTCAGAGCAACTTACAATCTCCTTTCCCTTCCTCTCCCCACAACAGAAACCCTGTGAGGTAGATGGGGCTGAGAGAGCTCTGAGAGAACTGTGACTGACTCAAGGTCACCCAGCTGGCTGCATGTGGAGGTGGGGAATCAAACCCGGTTCTCCATATTAGAGTCCGCCACTCTTAACCACTACACCAAACTGGCTCTTATTACAAGCCCTATCCTCTGGCTCTTATTACACAAACTGGCTCTTATTACAAGTCCTATCCTCTACTACCAACTGAAATAGCACTGTACTCTCCTCTAAATGACAGCCCTTCGAATACTTTTAAAAGAATAATCATACCCCCCAACCTCCTTTTCTCCAGGCTGAACATTCTCAATTTGCACAGCTTTTCTTCATAAGGCCGAGTCTCCAAACCCTTTATTGCTCTCCTCTGCATCCAGCCTAAAGTTACTTTGTTCTTCCTATAAAAAGGCCTCCAGAACTTCTCTACTACCAACTGAAATAGCATTGTACTCTCTTCTAAATGACAGCCCTTCGAATACTTTTAAAAGAATAATCATACCCCCCAACTTCCTTTTCTCCAGGCTGAACATTCTCAATTTGCACAGCTTTTCTTCATAAGGCCGAGTCTCCAAACCCTTTATTGCTCTCCTCTGCATCCAGCCTAAAGTTACTTTGTTCTTCCTATAAAAAGGCCTCCAGAACTGGACACTACTCCAAATGGGGTCTGACCAATGCAGTATACAGTGGTACTATCACATCTCGTGCCCAAGATACTATTCATCTGTTGATACTCCCTAAGATCGAATTTGCCTTCTTTGCTGCTGCATCACAATGGGTACTCATACTCAATTTGCAATCCACCAAAACTAGACAGATCTTTCTACAAAACTGAAAAAGCCCCGGGTCTGCAGGAAAATCTGAAATCTATAAAAAAAGTAACTTTCACTCTTCATACATCCAAAGAATCATTAACTTATGATCCAGCTGGTATAACTTTGTGCTGAAAAAGAGATGATTCTGTCCGTCTCTTGCAGCTAGAGAATTCTAACAAAGCACAGAAATAGACTAATAAAAACTACCAGAAAGGGAGCCCATGCATAACCAATGAGGAAGGCTTTCTCAGAACATCTGATCTAAGGGCTTAATGAACGACATTTCCTATTAGGCATTCCCTTAAAGGTAAAGGGAAGTTTTGTGGTGTGCAAGTAGAATAAGGAGCTCACTGAGGCAGGATTAGTATATAAACAAAGACAATTTAATTATTTGCAGGTTGGTTTCAAAGCACAGATCTCCAGGTAGAAAAAGCAGAAACTTGGCTGAGGGACATAAATTTAAGCTAATTATGGCTTCAGAGTGGTTTGAATTTTCTTTAATGCTTTCAGGCACAAACAGGCTTTTACTGACTAGCCACTAGGTTGGTAGCAGTTCGAAAGCAAGAAATTGCAAGTAGATAAATAGGTAGCACTTTGGTGGCAAGGTAACATCTTCGGACAGCGCTCTTCGGCTTGGAAACGGAGATGAGCACCGGAACCCTATAGTTGGATTCGACTGGCTTTCGAGCAAGGGAACCTTTACCTTTTTACACTAGGTTGGATCCTCTCATGCACACAGGATTCCACTCCCACCAGCCTGCCCTTTCCCAAGAGTTAGACTAAATAGCACCAGGTATGCTCATTACCTGAGACAGGCCTTATTCCTGTTTCGGGGCTGCCCGGAGGCTGGACCTTGTTTGCAATGACGTGATCAACGCACAGTTCACTTAGACTCAAAATCACTTGATTTCACTCCTCATACATCCAAAGAATCATTAACTTACGATCCAGCTGGATGAATGGCTGAGAGAATCATGTCCAGTGATTAGAGTCCATGGTATAACTTTGTGCTGAAAAAGAGATGATTCTGTCCGTCTCTCGCCGCTAAAGCACCGAAATAGACTAATAAAAACTTTGGTGGGCTGCTCGCTACCAGAAAGGGAGCCCATGCATAACCAATGAGGAAGGCTATCTCAGAACATCTGACCTAAGGGGTTAATGAACGACATTCCCTATTAGGCATTCCCTTAAAGGTAAAGGGTTATTTTGCTCTAAATACAAACTGCTAGCTGCATATCCTGCTGTGGCAGTACAGGCCGAACAATCTGCTATTCTATTCTCTGTCAGAGGTAGAGCTAAACCACTCTGCCACACTACCAGGCAGAGCTACCCTTCACCCTGTCTGCTCTTTTCCTGAGCCAGTTTAGTGTAGTGGTTAGAAGTGGCAAGACTCTAATCTGGAGAACCAGGTTTCCCACTCCTCCACATGAAGCCAGCTGGGTGACCTTGGATCAGTCACAGCTCTCGCAGCCCCAGCCAGTGTTCCCTCTAAGCTGAGTGAGTGTGAGCCAGCTCACAGTTTTTTAGCCTCTGGCTCACACATTTTTGCCTTAGCTCAGGAAGGATGGCTTTAGAGCAAACTAATTTATGCAGTACCCAAATCACTTGCTCACAACTTTAAAGCCAATAGCTCATAAAGTAGAATTTTTGCTCACAAGACTCCACAGCTTAGAGGGAACATTGGCCCCAGCTACCTTATAGGGCAGGGGTGGCCAAACTGTGGCTCTTTCATACATGTTGGGCTGCTCCCGGCAGGGCGGCTGGGGAAGCTAAATATCACTAGCAAACAAATTATCATTGGACAAATAAATATCATTATGAACATCAATATATGCTTTTACCGCTTTTGTTATTATTTATGGCAGTCTCCTTTAATGTTAATAAAAAGCAATGTTTGCATATTTCCCAGTAAAAACGTGTAATATTTGCTCGCCGCTAAAGCACCGAAATAGACTAATAAAAACTTTGGTGGGCTGCTCGCTACCAGAAAGGGAGCCCATGCATAACCAATGAGGAAGGCTATCTCAGAACATCTGACCTAAGGGGTTAATGAACGACATTCCCTATTAGGCATTCCCTTAAAGGTAAAGGGTTATTTTGCTCTAAATACAAACTGCTAGCTGCATATCCTGCTGTGGCAGTACAGGCCGAACAATCTGCTATTCTATTCTCTGTCAGAGGTAGAGCTAAACCACTCTGCCACACTACCAGGCAGAGCTACCCTTCACCCTGTCTGCTCTTTTCCTGAGCCAGTTTAGTGTAGTGGTTAGAAGTGGCAAGACTCTAATCTGGAGAACCAGGTTTCCCACTCCTCCACATGAAGCCAGCTGGGTGACCTTGGATCAGTCATAGCTCTCGCAGCCCCAGCCAGTGTTCCCTCTAAGCTGAGTGAGTGTGAGCCAGCTCACAGTTTTTTAGCCTCTGGCTCACACATTTTTGCCTTAGCTCAGGAAGGATGGCTTTAGAGCAAACTAATTTATGCAGTACCCAAATCACTTGCTCACAACTTTAAAGCCAATAGCTCATAAAGTAGAATTTTTGCTCACAAGACTCCACAGCTTAGAGGGAACATTGGCCCCAGCTACCTTATAGGGCAGGGGTGGCCAAACTGTGGCTCTTTCATACATATTGTGCTGCTCCCAGCAGGGCGGCTGGGGAAGCTAAATATCACTAGCAAACAAATTATCATTGGACAAATAAATATCATTATGAACATCAATATATGCTCTTACCGCTTTTGTTATTATTTCTGGCAGTCTCCTTTAATGTTAATAAAAAGCAATATTTGCATATTTCCCAGTTAAAACGTGTAATATTTGTTCATGTCTTGCGGCTCTCAAACATCTGACGTTTATTCTATGTGGCTCTTACCCTGTAACAGGGGTGGCCAAACTTACTTAACGTGTCTGTTGTGGGGAGAGGAAGGTGATTGTAAGCCACTCCAAAGACTCCTTTGGGTAGTGAAGGGCAGGGTATAAAAACTACCTCAGACCTGAGCTATCACTGCTTTATCCCCTAATTGCAGTATTACAATAATTAATAGAAGTACAAACAAGGCTTTTCGGTTGACTATCCGTACGAGGGTGTATGTGGATTCCAAGTTAGTCAGTCTCAAAGGTAGCTAAAGTTCAGTTATAAGATGGGGGTTATCTATGATCTGAGCATCTGTCTCTCCATTTTTGTAATGAGGAGGGACTAGAACTGGGTGCTGGGGGAATCGGCTTAAAATTTCCCTCTTCTTGCCCTCCCAGAAGTACTATTTGTGCAAACAGTAAGCAGGGAAGGCCTTAAACCCCTTCTGACCCGTGGTGTAGTTGTTCATAGTATCAGATTACTATCTCCAAGACCCAGGTTTGAATCCTCACTCTACTGCAGGTGCTGTCTTGGTGATCTCAGGCCAGTCAAACACACACAGCCTAATCTACCTCACAGGGTGCCGCTTGTGAGGATAAAACTGGGGCAGGGAGAATGATGTAACTGGTTTTGGATCCCCACTGGGGAGAAAAAGCAAGATATAAATATCTAAAGCAAATATGGATGAAAAATGTTAATATGACTAATGCTGTTGCTTATAAAGACAATATGTATAAGGTGTTTTATAGATGGTATGTTACTCCAGACAGGTTAGCAAAGCAAAGTAGTAAGTGTTCAGATAAATGTTGGAAGTATAAAAATAAGGTAGGCACATTTTATCATATGTGGTGGTTATGTGATGTCTCAAAAAACTTTTGGAAATGGGTACATTGTATGATGGAGCTGCGGTGGCTAAAGTGGTTAAGACGCTGAACTGCAGGCTGTGGAAGGTCGGTAGTTCAGCAGTTCAAGACCCGGGTGCCACATGACGGAGTGAGCTCCCGTCTCTAGTTCCAGCTCCTGCCAACCTAGCAGTTCGAAAGCAAGAAATTGCAAGTAGATAAATAGGTACCACTTCGGTGGGAAGGTAACAGCGTTCCGTGCAACTTGGTGTTTAGTCATGCCGGCCACATGACCACGGAAACGTCTTCGGACAGCGCTGGCTCCTCGGCTTTGAAACAGAGATGAGCACCGCAACCCTAGAGTCGGATTCGACTAGCTTTCGAGCAAGGGAAACCTTTACCTTTACCTTGTATGATGGAAAAAATAGCAAGATGTAACATCCCCTTTACTCCAGAATTGCTTTTGTTAAATATCTTCCCGAAAGAGTTTAAGGAAACGGATAGATACTTGATTATATACATGTCAACGGCGGCAAGGATATTATATGCCAAATATTGGAAGACCCAAGAAACACCAACTAAACAAGAATACATTAATAAACTATTAGAAGCGGCAGAAATAGACAAACTAACCATGGAAATGAGAGGTACAAAGAATTGGACATTTCAAAAAACCTGGAAGAGACTATATGATTGGTATAATGAGAATGGAGTTAAAAATTAAGCTGATATGGCAAAAATAACATTGGAGTATGTAGCAATATATAATAATGGAACTAGAGAATATTAACAATTGTTAGAGAACAATGAAGTGATGATGTAGATGTAGTAACAAACTGTAATAAGTCTCTTGGTCTATATGTTGTTTGTTGTAGTTGTTTATGTCTGTGTGTAGGAATATAAGAAAATAATAAATGTGTACCTTCGGGTACTAAAAAAAAGATATAAATATCTAAATAAAAACTTACTCTAATCTGAAGTGCTCCCCCCAGTTGCTGCTATTTTTATATATGTTAAGATCATAAAAATTTAAAGACCTGAGCATGGCTGTCAATGATAGAAGGTTTTGGAGGTCCTTAGTTCACAGAGTCACCATAAGCAGGAAGCAACTTGACAGTACATTACACACATGCACGCACAATGATCGCAGGGGTTCCATCTTACTGAAGAAGCTGGACAGGATGATTATCTATGTACCTTAATTTTGCAGATGGCTGTCCATACACCAACCCAAGTTAAATTATTCCAGTCAAAGACAAAAGCAGTCTCCTCTCCCCGCCCCTTGTAAATCATCTGTTATTTTAAAGCAGCGTCTGATTCTTCTGCTTCCTGAATTACTTAACGGGGCTTTGCTGAATGGGACTTACTTCCAAGTAAATAATCCAAGCAGTGGGCATTGCCAGATTTTTTAAAAGGGAATAAATATAGCACTAGATTGTGGGGAGCCCAGTCTCAATTTCGCTTGCAGCTGAATGGGAAAAGAAATCCCTTAGCAGTGCAAGAAAAGGTCATCATAGTGCAGAACAGTCCTGGATAAAGAGTTAGGCTATATTTTACTATAAAACCTATGAATCCTATAAGACCACTACTTGCTGTACCCACAATACAATAGTTAAGCAAGTTTAAGTTCACAGATCCCAGAGAACACCTAACTCTATGTAGCATTCTAACTTCTATGGGCAGCGCAAATTTGAGATTTCTTTTTTCAACACAAGATTTACAACAGACTTGCAGGCTCTGGCTTCCTGAAAGGCGGGAGCAGCAGCTAGTAAATGGCTGACTGCTCTACCTTGAGATTTGATTATCTTGATTCATCACTTAATTAAGACCCTCTCTGCCTTCTAGGGAAAACCCTATATACTAATAGCAAAGGCATCCCCTGTGAGGCAGGTGTGTGTGTGTGTGTGGGATGGTAGAGGAGACGGGGGGGGGGGAATCAGTGGGGAGGGGGGGGAGCTTCCCTGCTGCTGCGGCTTTCT